CGAGGACGGCGTCATCACCGGCGAGGAGACGAGCCAAAGTGATGAAAAGTGCGACTGACGCGCTGGGCGCCTCAAAAATGAACATTTCTTATCTTCAATAAAAATCATCAGTATAACAGCATGTTAGTTTCTGATTTTATTTATTTATTTGTGTAGAATGACAATGTGAAAACTGTTTATCAGTGTCATCTAACTCTTGAAACCCTAACCTTGGCTTGAAGCCCTCATTCGAAACCCTAACCCAAGCTTGAAATGAAAGCACACAATAATTAGAAACAGTTACCCGTCTTAAAAAAAAAAAAAAAAAAAAAACTGTCCTGGCCTGAAGTCCTACTTGGAAATCCTAACCCCTGATTCAAACTTTAACTTCTTTGAAGCCCTCATTCGAAACCCTAACCCAAGCCTGAATTGAAAGCACACAATAATTAGAAACAATTACCCGTCTTAAAAAAATTTAAAAAAAACTGTCCTGGCCTGAAGCCCAATTTGGAAATCCTAACCCCTGATTCAAACTTTAACTTCAATCCCAATCCATTTTTTCCCGTAATGCAGGCTGTCAAACCTTAATTACAACCCTTCCATTGATTTGTGGAGCACACGAAGTCCACCTGGGGGCACTGCGCGCAGGCAGGACGCTTGGCCGCCCATTGTGGGCGTGGCCACGGGCTTTCAATGTCATAAAAAGGCAACGCGCACTGCACGCGCATACAGACGAATTGACAGACCGATGGGCAGCATGCACAACACAACCAGACCGCACGAATGGACGCAGGTATGGTGGGGGGGTTGGTGGGGGGGGCGCTACCTCGTGACTGACACCTGACAAAAGTAAATCTGCAAGCCAGTGCTCGGTTCTGAATGAGTCCTCAGCGCAGCTGTCATCTGGCGTGTGTGTGTGTGTGTGTGTGTGTGTGTGTGTGCAGGTTCTGAGCGCGTTGCCATGGATCCACGTCGTCATCGCTCTCATCAGGTGACTTGCGATTGTAATACTTTCATCGATTGGTCCCAAGCACTTCTGATGCTCACAGTGGTTCCGATGTGTTGATAGAGCGGCTTCATCGTAACATGAAACGGAACGAATTAAGTTATTCCAAGACAATTGGGCACCTTTATTTCTGCAGCGCATTTCATACACAATGTCCTTCCCATCAATAAAAGTACATTCAAAAGCATTTAGAAACAAAAGAGTGAAAGACCTTTTCAAAGCCAAGTAAAACGAAGCTTCCAACTGAATAGGGATCACCAACCTTTTTGAAAAAAAAAAGACCTAAATCTTGGGTACAGATCAGGGTGATGGGCTACAAATTTGGTACACGGTGGAAATAATATTTGCTCTAATGACTTTTAATCACATTTGTATGATTTATTAACAATGAATCATATTAATTTCTGACACTAGTCATGTTCATGATGTTTCTCTCAATAATTAGGAAACAAAAAATACATGCAACGTTAAAAAAAATTAATAAATTACGTCCCTGACAGTTTTCACATGTTTAAAAGAAGGATTTCGACAACAGTCTATGAACATCACAAATCACCGGTGAGCTATTTTAAGAAAATCCCCGAGGGCTATTCATGTGGTACTTGCGGTCACCACTTTGGTCATCCAAGCACTAGAGGGAGCCCCTGAGACCCACGGTTGCATTGATTCCAAACGCTTCTAATTTTGCCGTCGATGAGTACAGTATTGGCCCCATCACGAAGCAGGCTTCCACTGTCGTTGCAGCGCTCTCTGCTCCGCCTCCATCATCACCTGTGTGACGTCACGGCGCTTGGGCGGGGCCACGTCCGAGGTGAGCACGAAGGCCGAAACAGCGCGTGCGACGCTGACTCGCTGACGTCACTGTGGTTTCGTTGTAGCTGCGACCGCTCATTCACCTGGCGGTGTCCGACCTGCTGCTCGCCCTTTGTGGCCTGCTAGGGGGCGCTCTACTCGTGTGGCACGCCGGCGCCCTCGCTTGGTACCGACTGCATGCCGCACGACAGGTCCCAAAAAGATTATTTGCTCCGTGTGTGTGTGTGTGTGTGTGTGTGTGTGTGTGTGTGTGTGTGTGTGTGTGTGTGTGTGTGTGTGTGTGTCCCAGTCTGGCAACATCAACAAAAACCCGTGTGACCCAAATGTTTTGTTGAGTGTCTGGCACAGGAAGTGTCACATTGTTGGCCGCCTGACACGTTTGTGTGTGTGTGTGTCAGGTTGTGTGCATGGCGTCTTTCTTCTACACGCTCAACTACATGTGGAACGTCTATGCACGTCTGCGTCTCAACTTCTGGTGTGTCCCTCACCAGCTTCCTGCTCAGGTAGCACCTGCGCTGCCCCCACCCAAAACACACACACATAACAAAAACAACAACAAAACAAGATGTGTCCATTTTTAATCAATTAACATTGGTAAAGCTCAAAGTCAATTTCACAAGAGTGTGTCTTCATTGTTATAGATCAAACGATATACAAATAATCCCCGCGCGTTCTCGGCAACCATTTTGTTTTGATTTGACGTGCCATTTTCATCCTCAGATTTCCAAGCGAGCCATCCCGACCACCAACATGACAGCGTTGCTCTCCGGGTGAGTTTGAGCTCGTTAGCGCACTAGCTTGTTAGCCCGTTAGCGTGTGACGTGATGACATGCTCACCTTGTGTCTCGACTCAGCGTGATTCCGCCTCTCCTGATGGCGCCCGTCTTCATCCAAGCACGCGTGGGCAGCTGTGCGGGCAACTGCAGCGACGCCTACAGGTGAGAAAAATGAGCATGCGTGTGCCACCTGGCCTCACGTACATGCGGTTTATGTGTTTTTCCCATGTTGTGTACGTGCACACGCGATGGCAGATGTCTGCTGATGCCCGTCGGCGTGCTTCCTGTCACCGCGGAGCAACCAATCAGAGCCTGCCGCCTGCTACTCGGTTACTGCGGCGCCGTCTTCCTCGCCACCTTCGCCCTCACACTCGTCGGGATGATGGTGAGTCCGTCATGCGGTGTTCCGTAGCACACCGTGCTGATGTCGTGCAGTACGTTACACGCCAACACCTCACGCTAACATAACACGCTTACATTTCACATGACATACCTCCATGTGACATCCTGATGTTATCTGTTAACAGGTCTTTGACAAATAGCATGTCACAGGGTGACGGTAACACACCAGCGGACACGTTAGCATGTCAGGGAATGTGTTACCGTGTACATGCTAATATGTGACACGTCATGCTAGCATGTGCCATCCCATGCCTACTCGCCGTCTTGACACGCTAATACAACACGCTCACACTTCATGTGACTTGCTAAGACTGCCATGTGACATGCTAACACGTCACGTGATTACATACATGTTAGTTGACATGCCCCAGACGTCACATGACACTGTCATTACACACAAGCACATCATGTGATATCCTGAAATCACGTGACACGCTGACATGCCATGCAAGCATTCCAAACGGACACGCGAACCCTTCACGTGACATTCCTCGACCACAATGTGAAAAAGGAGCAATTTTTAATGTGAACCGCGAACATGCCAGGTAACACAATGACGGGCATGACACGCCGACGGCGCCACGTGACGGAGAAACACGCTAACATAGCTTCTCCTGCCCCAGGTGCTCATGGGAAAATCTCGTCAGGTTTACCGGCGTGTGGTGACATCACACGGTTACCTTGGCAACCAGCAGCGGGTGTCCTTCCGGGCGATGGATTTGCGGATGCTGGCGTACTTCCTCTCATTTGCCCTCTGCTGGGGACCAAGTTAGTGCAAACATTACATGTTGAATGTTCACGTATGTGGCTCATTTTCTTCTTATTCCGTCAGTAACGGTAAAGACACTTTTTTTTTTAGAATTTTTTTTGTGCTGTCTTGGTTTCTGATGTAATTGTTTCCCATGCTTGAAGTTGTGTTTTTAAGAAGCGATTGATGATTTCAAATTTGAGAACATGATGTCCGGAGACAAATGGACTCATTTCATCCAACAATTCAAAGACTCATCTGTCAAATTAAATGATTTTCAAAAGTGGGGTACGTCTTTACAGTTACTGATGAAATGATATGAGAAGGACACGCCTATCAACTGTTTGACACGTATGATGTAAGCTTGTTGATTGACAGCCAGTGTTGATGATGTGACATCCTGTCGTTGCATCAGCGGCATCTTTGGTGGCCTTGCGTGCGACGAGGTCATCGTCGGACGTTGAGGGCGTGTGCACTGCGGTCTTGTACGTCACGCAGGTGGGTGACCTTCACCAACATCGCAATCTCCAGACTTTTGGTTGCGAGCGCTCAGTTCAAAGGTCACCCGCGTGTGTCCGTGCGTGGCAGGCCATCACATCGGCGTCGCCGGGCATCCTCCATTTTGCTGCGCTGGCGTGTGGGCGTGGCCCACCGGGACGAACTTTGGCATGGCGCGATGCTCACACGCAGACGCCGCTGCTGCGAGCGCAGAAGAGACCAACGAGGACCTACACAACTTGAGGATCTCGGGCCTGCTCACCCGCCCGCCGCCGTCACATCAACACCTGCAGCCACTTTTGCTTCGATGGTCGGGAAAATCCAACAGCGGCGTGGAGAGCCGAAAGAGGAAAGAGGGCGGGGAGTCCCCCCATGAGGAAAAGGAAGTGAGACAAGTGATCTTTCGTGTTGGGTTGTTGCGTGGCGTCGTCGCTCGGTGGGACTTTTCTTGCCTTTTGGAACTTCTCAGTCCTCGACAAATGTTTCGAGCGGTGGGTGGTTTGCAAATTTTCCCACTCAGTAACACCGAAAAAAATATGAAGCCCTCTCAGTCGCAGTATCATCGGCAACAGTGAAATCGTCAATCAGAAAATGACAACTTTCATTCCTCAACCTGTAATATTAAGAGGAAACTTCAGGAGGGAAAATTTCAATTTATCCACAGGTCAGGTCCAAATATTACAAGGTCAAAACAAAATGACCTGAGACAAGTTGTGATGTTGTGGGACAATAAGAAAAAAATCTGTATCTGGAAAAGTCGTAATTTATGAGAAGAGGGTCAAAATAAAATGGGTACTCCGGTTTCCTCCCACATTCCAAATGTGTTTTTTGTTTAGTTTTTTTGTAATACGAAGAGTGTAGCTGTCTTTGTTTTTGAGTAAACAACATTTTGAAGGCTGTTTTTCGAAGATTATTTGACTCTTTTGTGGTCAAGTGAGTTGAGTGCGCAGCACAAGTTTGAACTTCTAAGTCAAAACCAAACATTAGGATCTTCAGCAACTCCTAAGGGGGCTCACTTGAGCATTTTGCAAGCATAAAATGTCGCCTCACGAACCGTGTCCAGATTCGTCGGCAACTAATCGATCATCAAATGAAGAGGCAAGCGAGTAGAAGGCACATTGATTGACACAACGAATCTTTCGCTGCATTTGGAAGCGACCTTCTCCGACCCGACCCAAGTGGAGCCCACTTGTGCGTGGTTTTTCACGAGCCGACGCCACCTGACCAGACTCCGCCCACTCCTGTCCGGACAACAAAGAATTTACGGTTGAGTGAACCCCGCCATGTTGTCACGACGAGACAAATAGCCCCCCTACGCTCCCCATTCAGTGCTAATGAGCACGCCGGCGTTACGTCAGCCTTGGCGGTTTCAAACAACTTGGCCCCCTTGGCTTCAGTGACATTCACGTGCCTGTTACGTAATCTGCATACCGTGTGAATCACACGTATCCTTCATAGGTGCTTCCCGCCCAAAAAATTGTAACGGCCTTTTCTGGTGCAGCCGAATGCACTTGTGACGCCCCCTTGCGGTGCAGAGAGCACATCACACCTCAATTTTCCAAGCAACCGAATGCAAAAAAGCAAATTAGCAAAAGAAACGAACGTGAAAAGAATAAGAAAACAGAACCAATGATTAGTCAAGTCAAGTCAGATTTGTTTATATATCCCTGAACCACAAAACGCCTCCAAGGGCTTGAAATTTGAACCTTACTTTAAACACCTACTTGAAAGTGTCTGGTGCTTAGTTGGTCCAGTGACCAAAGCTTCGACTCTTCTCTTGCACTGAACTATAAATATCAAATTGTAACAAAAATTTAACCAAGGAAAATCAGAAAATTTTTGAAGAAATGATGTTGAATAATTCATGAAATATAATTTTTAGAATCATTAAACTGGAAGAAAAAAAATCAACAATTCATAAAATTAAAAAAATATTTAAAAAGAAAGAGTGGCAAGTGTGAATCCTCACACGTAAAGACATTTCAGATTTTATTAGACAGTAAAACATCAATCATGGAATCATTGAATAATTGATGAAATCGTAGAAAATATGAAACAACAAGAAGTAAGAAATTTTTGGACCTGAAAAAAAAAAAAAAAGTGGATGCGTAACTTTTGTCCGCCGGTCGGCCGCTAAGTGTTGGTGCGCGTGGCGTCCCAGCTGGCGAAGTTGGCGGAGTCACTCGCACTGACACCGCCGATGGCGGGAAGGTAGGAAAGATGGAGGATCGGGAGCTGGAGCGACATGCGCCGACACATGCTGACCGCAAAAAAAAAAAAAAAACACAACAAGGAACAGGAAGTGATGGTAAGTACAATTAACAGGAAGTGACATCAAGCAGGCTGTACAATTAACAGGAAGTGACGGCTAGCAACAAGTCCAATTAACAGCTGATGTTGAGCAGGAAGTCCCGTTTGAGGTGACGTGACGATGGGGCGAAAGAGGAAGCGTGCGTGTGTGCGCTTACAGCTCAGGCGAGTTGACGTCGCTGTCGGTGACATCATGTGATGTCGTGACGCTACTTCCTGTCTGCCGCTGGCCAAGCTGTGCTTGCCACATGTCACAAAGCTGTATGCTTAGCGTGTGGATTTGTGCATCCAGCTGCCCCAACACACACACACGCACACGCACACGCACACACACACACACACATATCATTTCCAGTTAGTCCTCCACAACACCGGCCTCCATCTTTGTTGCCTCACCTCAATACTTTGAAGTTGCAGCTGCCAATTAAGTTTCTCCCGAGCCCCGCCCCCCACGTCCACCCCGCCGTCGTTGACGTTTGTGTCGATGAGCTGCGAGCACATCGATCGATCGAACGATTCATCGACGGTTTCATGGGGAAAAAGATACATGACAATGGACACCAAAAGTTTATAACGCTCACCTGGCCTCGTAACGTGATGGCGAGGACGATGATGTCGCAGGCGAGTAGCACAACGTTGAGCGTGCAGAAATCCAGGGAAGGATTGTGGGAAAGCAGAGGAAGCGCCGTGGCCGCCCACGTGCTCGTCCACAACACGCATGCCGTGCCCACCCGTGCCCACCACCACACACACGGACTGCCGCTAGCTCCATGACGGTCGGGGAGCAGCAAGGACAGCAAACACCCACACACCTGCAACACACACACAACTCACGAACTGCAGGGTGGGCGAGTGGGTGTCTTTTGCACCTGTCGATAGGATGTGAGTGTGTGCTTGCACCATGAGAGGCACTTTGTATGCGTAGATGGCGGCGGTCCAGGCGTCCATGTCGTTGCCGCTGCAGCATTGGAATGTAATCCACGTGACGACATCCGGATGGATGGAGTCGCTCTGAAAACGGGGTTGAGCGACACTTTGATGCGCTTGAACACACACCGCGCCGAGTGAACGCACGGACTTACCTCCGGTCCGTGTCGCATCTCCACCCGCCCGAGAGGCGCCAGCGTCTGCCAAGCCAACAAAAGGAGCGCATCCACCGGGGTCAAGACCAAGGCCAGGCGGTAGGCGGACGGAACCTTGCCTTCTGACAAACGGCGCCACGTTTGGGCCAAGAGCGACGTTGATGCCAGACTGTGAGACGCCACCAGCAAACACGCGCGCAGCTGCAAACAAAAAGAAAAAAAACAACCAACTGCAGTTGTCAAATCGAGGTGCAGAAAGTCAAAACCCTGACACGGTTTGGATTTGGCCACTCAACGAGAAACGAAACACACCCAGACAACTACAAAGTCAAAAAGGTCAAGCACATCGACGATGACCCGTCAAAGGTCAAACATTTTGAAAACGTCAAAGACGTCAAACATGCTAAAAAATGAAAACCATATCCGAGATGTGAATCGTGTCAATCACCGAGCAGAGCGCGCGCGTCGTCTTGGGGCCCAGAAAGTCATCATCGGGGCCGCCGGCTATGACGGATGTCGCGGAGAGGAAGACGGCCGTTAGCATCAGCAGCAGCACTTCTCGGGCCCGCGCGGCGAAGCGCCGCCAGCCGGCCACCACGCAGAAGACGCTCAGCGAGACGGCGGCCGTTGCCGTGGCCGCGGCGGACAGGCCGCCGTAGACAAGGATGCTGACGCGGCGGCGCTCCACGCGCACTTCCGTGCCGTCTTTGGGCGCCGAAGAAGCTGCAAAATCCAGCAAACGCTTGTTGTCAAGACACGCGTACCCGATCGTCGCAACCGGACGGGCGCCGATCGACGCGTCCGTCACCTTTGAACTTCAGCAGACGCTCGGAGACTCGCAGCTCGCGTGTCTTCATGTCCAACTGGCCCACCAACACTCCAGCGGAGCCTGACAGTCGACACACGTGGGCAACAATCGCAAAAATCACGTCAGCAATCATGGTAACACGCATGTTACGGGTCCACGTCAACATGTGAGCATGCATGTTCACCGATCATGATCCTGTCAACAGGCATACGCACCTTGAGTCTGGATGACGTCAACGGAGGAGCTTCGGCGGCCATGTTGGAAGGAAACGGTCCCCTGAGAAAGAGATGATGATGATGTCATCACAGTCACGTGACTTGATGTGTCATTGCGGTCACACGAGACGCCCGTTGACTCCGCTCTCCACCATCTCCTCACCGTGATGCCTTCAAAGTGGGTGCGCGCGAGGGCGTCCCTCAGGGCACTGGCCGCTTCATCCTCGGTGACCTCGGCGTTTCTGCTGAACTTGTGGCGACGCTTGAGCGCCTCCGTCAGGCCACTCAAAGCTTTGGCCGCCACCCACACGGCATCGTAGGCCAAGGCATGGCGGGGGCTGGCCTGGACCCCCGGGTGGCGCCGAATCTCCTGCAGGTAGGCTCGCTCGAAATCTTCAGGAGTCTGCCCACATACGATGGCGGGCTTTTAAGATTTGTTGAACTTTGCAACAGAGAGGAACATCGGCCCATTAAATCGTGCGCAATCAAAACAAATGACTGACAACCAACCCGTCCAGACACCCCTGGCGTGTCAGAGCGGCCCACGCGCATGACGGGCAGCCAGATGGCGCCGTCCGCCGCCGCCGTGATCTCATCGGACGTGCAGCTCGTAGCCTGAAAACTGGGCCTCCATCTTGGGTCTCCACCCGCCACAATCCACTGATGGTGCGCACCAAACATCTTCAGCCTGGATGCCTGAACACGCCGTCAACACGCCACTGACACGCCGTTGCGATCATGTCGTCAACACGTTCAAAGAATGTTCAACTTACGCAGCAGAAGACTGGAGAGAGGGAACCTTCATCGGGTTGGGTGAGAGTGACGATGACGATGCGCACGTCACGCTCCTGTAGAATCGCTTGTAACTTGGTGATGTCACATCACGTGACTTTGTAACGTTAACATATCGTAAACATGTGGTACGCCCTTTTGTGGCGTATGGGAACATGATCATGAGTCATGTTATGTCATTTTGCGTATCGCTGGCGTCAGTTTTGTTTCTTTTGACAAATGTTGATGTCATGTGAGTGGTTGAACAAACATCCTGTTTTGGCGGTATCCCTTATAGGGGCCGATTTTGGTGGCACAAGGATAACGGCCCGACGGGACGCCAGCGTTCTGCTTTTTCACTTCACTCGAGCAGCACCAAATCTGCTAATTTGGGCAAGTTAAGGTTGGCAAGCAAAGCGCACCTTCATGTCCACGAGGCCCCTGCAGTTGTGGTCCGGGAGGGTCGTCACGGAAACCAGACGGATGTCGGCCATCGTCATCCGACTCTTCAAGTCCTTAGTCATCTAAACGAGGGAGGGAGTGCGACACCACGTCAGAGGGTGCGTCACTTTGGGCCTTTGTGCATTTTGTTTTCTAGTCTTATTTGAACCTTTGGCTTTTGTGGAACTATTTGAACTATTTCCGATGTATTTTAAGTGTCGCACTACCTGTATGTATTATTATTGCATTCAGTGGGTGCCTTAAAAAAATTTGAAACATTGAAAAATGTCAGTTTAAAGACACTGTAAAGTGAATTCTAAATTTTTCTAAATATATTTGACATATTTGACGATACTTGCTGAAAATATGCAAAAACTATGGAGCACTTCATTGCAGAGATAGATTTAGCCTCCCAAAATCCATATCGGCCAGGCACTAATTTGATCTATTTTCGGACTTCTTCTTTTTTCATCAACAATACCCTGCTCTCTGTTGTGTCTTTTCACTTTACATTAACTTTAAGCTGGAACCACAACGAAATCTATCCAACTGGCTCGCTTTGTTGTATGTGTGGGGGTGAAAGTATCAACGACCAAGCAAAATACAAGAATTTACGCATCCAATGATCGGAAAAACAACAAGTCCAAGCTCGAAATCAGTCCTGTCGGGCCGAGCGAGTGGGGAAGAGAAGGGAGCCTCTGGTCTGACCTCGTCGTTTGCTCAACATCCCACCAGACGGGGGCGCCAAAGGGCATCACTTACCTCCGAGGATGACTCTCCGGCCACGAGGCCGACTCGCGTCCAGCCGAAGCGCCGCAGCAGCTCGACAGCCGCCCGATTGACAGCTCGACCCGACGGCGCCAAGGTGAACACGTTCCCGTGCCGTTTCCCGCCGGACAGCCGGGACGCCTCATCGCCGTAAGACACCTGGACAGGAAGTGACACGTTGAGACCTGACGATAACTTTGCAGCCCCTCCAGCCCCTCCTCAAGTGCCCGAACTGGAAAACAACCCCCAAAAGGACCTGAACCATCCGGAGAGCTGGCAGAGCGCCAGCTAGCCGAGTTGCCACTGCGGGACACGCCCCTCCGAGCAGGAGCAGGTACTTTGGCCCCGCCCAGATCGCATCAAAGAGAGATTTAAGGGACGATGACAGGTCACACTGAAACAAACATAAAAATACTGGCTGCCATGGCTGTCACATATAATACAATAATGTCAGCGCATGTTCAATGGTCACATGAACAAGCGTGGACAACATTCGTGGCAACACGTGAACATACACGTCCAGATCAGATTAATATACAACGTTCAACCTCAACCGACATTGAATGTTAATGCTCATGTCAACATTTAGATGAACATAAGTGAACGAACATGCATGGTCAACAATCATGCTAACACATGAACCTGTGTCGTCATCAGTGATGTCAACACATGAATGTGCATGGTCAACCACCACGTGAACATAGTACCATGCCAATGGTCATGTGGATCCCTGTGGCCACACAATGACGCGGATGGCGCCCACCCACCTGTGCATGTATCGCGTCCAGTTGCATGTGGTAATCCCCGAGGGGCGCCGGTTGTCTCTCGAGGTCCTCGAGAGCCATGCGGACGGCCAGCGTCAGGCCGGCGGCGCTGGCATTGGCTCCTCCCCCGCCTGAAGGCCCCGGAAGCATCCACAGGACAGGAAGCGGGTGGCCTGTGACCCCCGGCGTTGGCACAGAGTCTGTCGAAGCGCCACACAGGACCAACAGGAACCCGAGGAGTTTGAGTCGCCGCCAAAGGAGCGGCATCCCGGGCAAGCGTGTCCTGCCTGCTGGCCTGAAAATTTGAGCAGCGGATCAAAGGATCAGGATGCGGATCAGAGTCGTCACCATGGCGACGGCTCACACCGCCACCTGGACCTCTTCACTGGACATTTTGAAAAAGATTTGCTATTGCTGTATTAACTGTAAAACAGTCTGAATCTGTACTTTATTGACTGTTAGCTTCCTTAACATGTTGACATGGAGCCAGTTAATTGCATTCTCACATCAGCATTTGCATGCTGGGCGGGAACCAGGTAACTACATACCATTTCTAAATTTACATGTTGACATGGAACCGGTTTGCACGCTGGGTGGGAACCTGTTAACTAGATTAGATTGTTGACATTAGCATGTCAACATTAGCAAGTTGATGTAAATACGACTAGCTAGATCAGCATGACTAAATTAGTATTTTGAGATGGATGCAGGCTAGCGGCATTAGCTGGTCACCCTACCAATTAGCATTGGTATGTTGACATGAAAACAATTAGTCGGATTAACATGTTAGCATTGGCATGTAGACATGAAAACAATTAGTCGCATTAACATGTTAGCATCTCTGCGGTGAGGAATATTAGCATTTTTATGAGGAATCAGTTAGCGACATTAGCACGTGTACATTTGCGAAGGCACCAGTTAGCTGCATTAGCACATCATGATAAGACCGATTGCTACATTTGCCTGTCAACATTAGCATGTTGTCACAAAACCAACGAGGATTAACCTCACTTTCAATGCTGACTGAGCTGACCGCAGAGTTTTTGTACGACTCTGGAGAAGGTGTGATTCGCTCCAAATTCTGAGCTCTGCTGTTGTCAGACAGTGGAGAAGACGGCCCGCGCTTGTGAATACACATATTTATTGTAAAAGAGGTAGAGAGAATACAGGTGTTTCACTGTACAGAAAAAAGGACAACAGTTATCATTCACACACAAGCCTGTTATAAAAACAACAAAAGCAGAAACTCAAAAAATATATTTCATACACACACAAGCCTGTTGAAAAAAAAACCCCAACAAAATCAGAAAAAAAAGATAAACAACATACAAAGTCTTTGGATTTTCTCTATTGCCCTCATTCGCTCTCTTCAAGTCATCCAACAGCAACATTGTCAGTACTCTAGTCTATGTTGAACTTTTCGTGTGCTTCAAACCAGAAAAATGCAATCGGTACATACACACACACACACACACACTTAAAATGTTAGTGAAAAATGACAACCCCTGATGGCAATATTAATAAGAAATCACACCCTGCATGCACACGACACAAACTTCCACCTCCACTCAAAAAACAGAAAAAAAAAAAAAAAGCACAAAAGCCAAGAAGGGAAAATGAAAAGAAGCGCGATTGAGTGGGGCAGTGAGTGTGATGTCATTCGTTCTGTCTTTGTCACTCCTCAATCTTTTTGTCTGGCAAAGCTGGCAGAGGAGGGGGGTGCTATTGTGTGTTGGGGCTGGGGTAGATCAGTCCGAGTTGTCTGACTGGTCGCTGTGGGGTGGGGAGGTCCCTGGCGGGGGCGAGCTTCGAGCCTGCCAGCTCCCGTTGGCCTGACGACGACACACAAAGACAGGGAGGAAATCTGAGCAAAGATTGTGTTGCCTATTTTTTTTTTTTTTACACATGCACATCATTTTTGCTTCAACTGTTTTTTTCCCAAAATGCAAAGAAAACATTTTGAAATATATGATTTTGGAAAAAATACAACAGGAAAAGGTTTGGTGCTGCCTGTTTGTGCAAATGAAAGATGTTTTTATATTGTCTCTTCAAATATTTGGTTTAATTTATATATATTTGTAACTTGTTATTTTTGAATAAATTAAAGTATTTTTTGTTGAATTTATATTGCTTGCATTTTATGTATCGATTCAACTTCTATTTTTTTTGTATATTTCATTTCCCTGAGGATATTCCTATCTATGTGTTTTTTTTTAGATCACAATCAATTTGACGTTATGGATGAAATAAACGTGAACTGTAGAAAAGGTCAAACGTTGCAGGAAAAGGAATGAGGGACGCGCGTGTGGAAATGAAAATGCTTGTGGTGGTGGCGGCGGCACCGCGTACCTGCACCCCCATTTGGTAGGCGGCCTCCCCGTTGACAGGCGGGACCCCGAGGAACAGGTCGGCGGAGAAGGACCCCGACCCTGAAAGCGCACACACCAAATCATCTCACCATGCACACTGCACCCTTCGCTACTTGCACATTCACATATTGGCAGCTACTCTTTTGTTTGGGACCATGTCCTCAGTTCTCCATGGCCAGTAGTTTATTTCCATTTGTCTTATACTGCCCCCAGGTGGCCAGGGCAGACACACCAGAATGAGCAGCATTCACCGCGTCATTCTTTTGAATTCTATTTCATCATGTTTTTCCGATTAGAACTGCACTTAATAATGCGCCAAACATAGTGTCACTTTGCATCGCTGCCCTTGTTTGATTCCGTGGTCCGCTGCTGATGGTCCGAATCTATCAAGGCTAGCTGAAGGTAGCAACATATTGCTGTATCCAGTTCAACGTGTGTCGGTCGCTGTTCTTTGTTTTTGTGTGTCGTCACAAACATCCTGTTCCTGACAGCTTGTCTCACTGATAAAACTCTCCTTTGGCAGCTGCGACTTTGAAATGTGGACCGCCCCAAATTCACTTCTCACCGCGATAATCCATTCGACGAGCACAAAGGAAGCGGCGTACCTGTTGAGTTGGGCGTGTGTGGCGAGTCGTCGCCTTGTCTCGCTCCCAAAGCGTTCTTCATGGCGTACAGGTTGGCCTCCTCTTGGAACTTGCCAATGTTTTTCTTGTAGCGGATTCTCTTGTTGCCGAACCAGTTGGAGACCTGCCGGAAAAGAACGAAGCGCAGTGAACCAAGTTACACAGAATACAAGAATGGAATATATGTCAAATTAAGTCCGACTCAAGTCCCACTTGCCACACCAGACAACAGTTCCACCAATGGAAAGCAGAAAACTGCTTGCGCCTCAAATTGACCACATTTCATGTTGAAAAATCTATACAAATATATCCAACAAAGCATGCAAAAAAATCTAATAATAAAGAAAGAGAGAGAGAGAGAGATAGTTTGGAGGATTAACCTCACTTTCAATGCTGACTGAGCTGACCGCAGAGTTTTTGTACGACTCTGGAGAAGGTGTGATTCGCTCCAAATTCTGAGCTCTGCTGTTGTCAGACAGTGGAGAAGACGGCCCGCGCTTGTGAATACACATATTTATTGTAAAAGAGGTAGAGAGAATACAGGTGTTTCACTGTACAGAAAAAAGGACAACAGTTATCATTCACACACAAGCCTGTTATAAAAACAACAAAAGCAGAAACTCAAAAAATATATTTCATACACACACAAGCCTGTTGAAAAAAAAACCCCAACAAAATCAGAAAAAAAAAGATAAACAACATACAAAGTCTTTGGATTTTCTCTATTGCCCTCATTCGCTCTCTTCAAGTCATCCAACAGCAACATTGTCAGTACTCTAGTCTATGTTGAACTTTTCGTGTGCTTCAAACCAGAAAAATGCAATCGGTACATACACACACACACACACACTTAAAATGTTAGTGGAAAATGACAACCCCTGATGGCAATATTAATAAGAAATCACACCCTGCATGCACACGACACAAACTTCCACCTCCACTCAAAAAACAGAAAAAAAAAAAAAAAGCACAAAAGCCAAGAAGGGAAAATGAAAAGAAGCGCGATTGAGTGGGGCAGTGAGTGTGATGTCATTCGTTCTGTCTTTGTCACTCCTCAATCTTTTTGTCTGGCAAAGCTGGCAGAGGAGGGGGGTGCTATTGTGTGTTGGGGCTGGGGTAGATCAGTCCGAGTGGTCTGACTGGTCGCGGTGGGGTGGGGAGGTCCCTGGCGGGGGCGAGCTTCGAGCCTGCCAGCTCCCGTTGGCCTGACGACGACACACAAAGACAGGGAGGAAATCTGAGCAAAGATTGTGTTGCCTATTTTTTTTTTTTTTACACATGCACATCATTTTTGCTTCAACTGTTTTTTTCCCAAAATGCAAAGAAAACATTTTGAAATATATGATTTTGGAAAAAATACAACAGGAAAAGGTTTGGTGCTGCCTGTTTGTGCAAATGAAAGATGTTTTTATATTGTCTCTTCAAATATTTGGTTTAATTTATATATATTTGTAACTTGTTATTTTTGAATAAATTAAAGTATTTTTTGTTGAATTTATATTGCTTGCATTTTATGTATCGATTCAACTTCTATTTTTTTTGTATATTTCATTTCCCTGAGGATATTCCTATCTATGTGTTTTTTTTTAGATCACAATCAATTTGACGTTATGGATGAAATAAACGTGAACTGTAGAAAAGGTCAAACGTTGCAGGAAAAGGAATGAGGGACGCGCGTGTGGAAATGAAAATGCTTGTGGTGGTGGCGGCGGCACCGCGTACCTGCACCCCCATTTGGTAGGCGGCCTCCCCGTTGACAGGCGGGACCCCGAGGAACAGGTCGGCGGAGAAGGACCCCGACCCTGAAAGCGCACACACCAAATCATCTCACCATGCACACTGCACCCTTCGCTACTTGCACATTCACATATTGGCAGCTACTCTTTTGTTTGGGACCATGTCCTCAGTTCTCCATGGCCAGTAGTTTATTTCCATTTGTCTTATACTGCCCCCAGGTGGCCAGGGCAGACACACCAGAATGAGCAGCATTCACCGCGTCATTCTTTTGAATTCTATTTCATCATGTTTTTCCGATTAGAACTGCACTTAATAATGCGCCAAACATAGTGTCACTTTGCATCGCTGCCCTTGTTTGATTCCGTGGTCCGCTGCTGATGGTCCGAATCTATCAAGGCTAGCTGAAGGTAGCAACATATTGCTGTATCCAGTTCAACGTGTGTCGGTCGCTGTTCTTTGTTTTTGTGTGTCGTCACAAACATCCTGTTCCTGACAGCTTGTCTCACTGATAAAACTCTCCTTTGGCAGCTGCGACTTTGAAATGTGGACCGCCCCAAATTCACTTCTCACCGCGATAATCCATTCGACGAGCACAAAGGAAGCGGCGTACCTGTTGAGTTGGGCGTGTGTGGCGAGTCGTCGCCTTGTCTCGCTCCCAAAGCGTTCTTCATGGCGTACAGGTTGGCCTCCTCTTGGAACTTGCCAATGTTTTTCTTGTAGCGGATTCTCTTGTTGCCGAACCAGTTGGAGACCTGCCGGAAAAGAACGAAGCGCAGTGAACCAAGTTACACAGAATACAAGAATGGAATATATGTCAAATTAAGTCCGACTCAAGTCCCACTTGCCACACCAGACAACAGTTCCACCAATGGAAAGCAGAAAACTGCTTGCGCCTCAAATTGACCACATTTCATGTTGAAAAATCTATACAAATATATCCAACAAAGCATGCAAAAAAATCTAATAATAAAGAAAGAGAGAGAGAGAGAGATAGTTTGGGACTTTGGACTGTCACCGCAGCCTCGCTGTACCTGAGAGACGGTGATCCCGCACTGTTTGGCGAGTTCTTCTTTGGCTTCTTCGCTCGGGTACGGGTTGGAGAGGTGTGAATAGAAGTACTCGTTGAGCACCTCGGTAGCCTGCTTGCTGAAGTTTCGCCTCTTACGCCTGACGGGACATAAAAATGGCCGTTGAGCAGCCCACGGCAGACCGATGGCCGACGTTTGTAAAGGTGTAAGGTACGGCTAGCGTTGCGGCGCAGAGCGCTCACCTGGCATCCAGGAAGCGCGACCTGAGGATCATGACGGCCTCGCAGGTGCTCTGCTTGAGCTGCGTCTGGATGGAGCTGAACTTGCGGTGGATGATGCCGACCATGCGCTCGATCTCGCGCGGCGTGACGGGACGCGTGCGCGACTGTTCCCGCAGCAGGTTCATCACATGGGTGGTGAACTCCGTGCACGCCTGCGCCGGACCACAAATGTTCACATGTGACGGCCACAAGTGACCGGTCGAAAGATGGACTTGGAACAGGCAATTCTACTGTAATTTCCTGACGCCCAAGTCACTCACTGAGCCGAGCCTTAACACGGGTAGAACAGAATATACGGCATCAAACATGAAGATTGTGACCCGAAGGTGACAATATTACCAGCATCTCACATTCGGCCCACAACTTCCATATTGCTATGAAACGTACTATTTAGATAGGATGGCGGCGTACCTGCTCGTATTTCTCCAGCTCGGTGTGGTAGATGCCGCGTATCTGGCCCAGCTTGCTTTTGTAGTCCGAGTGCTCCAGGGAGCTGTCTGGCGACATGCCGCCCGAGCTGGTGGCCGCCGAAACGGCCGCGGCCGCCCCGCCACCCTTCTCTGGACCTGCCACGCCCTCGGCCAGCAGCATGTTGTCCAGACGCACCAACTGGGGGTCCTGAGGCTCCTCCTCTTGGTTGTTCCTCATGGACAGGCCTGTGGACAGACCAGCCGCGCACGACTCGTCACTTCCACTTCTGTCGAGTCCCATTTATCGTGGAGAATTGTTCAGAGAAGACATTACGGGTATTTTGAAATGGGCTGAAATGAATTGCATCGTACTCCCTAATCACTCTTGAGGGATTTTTATATTTCAGTCATTACTCAAATGAAAATCTTGTCAAGAGACCATCCACGTTGACAGGATTGCAGCTAGCGGCTGGCGTTGCGAGCGGCGAATGCTGGAGCTGCCGCTAAACACTGGCAGCAGGCGCCGTACAATACAGAGTCAGCGTCATTAAGTTGCCTTTTAGTGACTGAACTTTATTTCAGGACGTGTTTTTTTTTAAGTCTATTTGTGACGCACTATTAATGCCCCAAACGGAGTCTGGAAGATGACTCAAACCAGGCGCTACGTCTCGACACACGGCCGGGCAGAACTTTGAAATAAAAGTGTCCTAGGCAATGCTGTCCATATATTATTTGCTCGGGTAAGGTTTTATTTTTAAGTTTCTTTTCTTGTCACCACTTTGTAGGCATCTTCCTGTCACAAATAGCACAAAACTATTGTTGCTGCTGTTAGCATGATTTCTTCCCGACATTGTACGGAAAAATAAACGGGTATCAAAGGCAGAAAAATGTCCCGAGAATTTTTTTCTTGAACCGAGGTACGTGAATGACTCCAAGACCCGTTTCAACCCCACTTGATGACTACTTTTCAACATGCATTGTGCGATACAAAGAGGGCATGAAATGAAGGGGTAACCTATACTCACTAAACATTCCAACAGCACTCGAGAGCCGATGTGAAGTGACTCCCAACCTCGCCTGAAAGAACGAGTATGAGTCGTTTCGTGTGTGCATTATGCTAAACGTGTGTTTGGTCAGCTGTTGTCTCTTTTGAAAGCCAATGTTTGAAAAGGGGTGGAGCTTACTGGCTGCTGATGAGAGAAGCCCACAAACACACACAAGCATGACAAAGGTAAGAGAAGTGTGTGCGTGCGTATACCTGTCTTTTCTTTGATTTCACACAGCACACTGAACAGAGCGGGCTTCATTCTGTGACAGTTGAGCGCATGTTTCCTGTGACCACAACAGCAAAGACACGAGGCAGTTAAGCATCGTATTCAAAGACAGGAGATTAATTCAAGGTGACGGTACAGAGATGGATAAACACTAACTGATGAAACGTAGCCAAAGGAAGCGCCTTGACTGACAAACAAGGAATTGGCCGTTAATAAAACGATTAAAAAATATCCAGAATGTCGAGTACGGTTCTTGAGAACTCGCCAAGTACAGTCTTCCTAAGAAAGTACGCGGGAAGAAGAAGGCAAGTCTCTTTGTATGTCAGAATGGCGATGTATGTGGCATATTTTTCTGACCAAGTTTTCACAAGTATCCAACCAATGCATCTTTAGTTGAAGCTAATACACAAGACCAACTGAGTTCTTGCCTTCTTCAGAGTTTCAATTGGAATAGGACTTGGACCGTGACAAATGACGTTTGACAACTTTGCCAATTTTTCAAAGCTCCCACCTCCGGTTCTTTCTGGAAACACTCGGGGAACATCGGCGTATATCCAGAGGTGTCTGCTTCTCGCTGTTTTTGTGAAATTTTGTGGAGAAATTATTGGATCATGGTGGCAAAATCCTTACGTGAGAACCAATCGGACGTTACTTTTCAAATCAAGTAACCATTAAAGTAACTGTTACTTTTTCCAAGGTAACTGGGGAAACACTGGAAATATTAAAATAAGCAAGATTCAATTCTCAAGGGACCTAAAAAGTTCTAACAACACAGGCACTGGAAGTCAGTACTAAGCAGGCTAATTTGCTTAGCAAGCTTAGAGGTAGGTGAGTGCTCACAGAAATACGGAATAAGTTGGTAAGCAATGAGCAGCGCGCTGACAGGACGCAAGCTACGAACTGAGCCCCTCGCGGAATGTTCACAGAAATGTAAAACAAGTTGTTGGAAAAAAAACAAAACAAACCAACAAAACATGCTGCTCCTGTTAGCAGCGGGCTAAGTGCTAACAACACAGACGCTGACAGCCACAGGATCTCGCTTGTCAACACAAGCGGCTCGAACGGGCAACACGCGAGAGCCTGGAAGCGTTATAGGAATTATTTCTACGAATTATCTCGGGCATTAAAGATGTTGAGTCAATAAAATGGGGTTTAATACAGCTTGGCGGCCGCCGTTCGCGTCTTAGCGTTCGTTCGTTAGCTTAGCCGAGCAAGCTAACAATGGCTACCTTCCAGGTTAGCTCCAGTACAGGCGACCCCCCCCCCAACAAAACAAAAAAAAAGCAAAAATTTAATTATTATTCAATTCGTCCACATATATTCACGTTTTAATATTTGACAGCGTGTAGTTGGAAGCGAACTGTTAGCACGTGGCTAAAGGCTACAAACAATCAATGCAAGTTGGAACAAACTTAAGTTTGTCAATCGAGACCGTCAAAAATAAAGTTGGTCAAATTCCAACGAAATCGTTGACTGACTTTGCCTGCGCCTCGTCCAGACTTTGGTCGGTGATAGTCATAATCTGGTGCAGGATGTCGCCGATGTCCCGGCGGACTTCGTGTCCGTTCTCGGCGCCGTTCTCCAGGCCCGCCGGCGGCTCGTCGGCGGGGCGATGGTGCGGCGGCGGCGGCGGCGGCGGCAGCGGAGGGGCTCGGTGAGCCATCCCGGGGTGGCCGCTCAGGGGGAGGCCCCGGCCGTTGGAGGCCCCGTTGGCCGTCAAAGGCTGCTGCGGCTGCTGCTGCAACATCTCGTCGAGCGACGCGCAGTGGCGGCGACCTCGACTGCTGCTGCTGGCCGACTGAGCGCACCAGCGCCACCGCTCCGTCGCACCCGCACTCCACCAGGCGGCCACCAGCCGGCAGGCATCGCGGCCAGACGCCTCCTAGCGGCAGGAACCAGGAGCTACACGACTCTCTTCGCCAGTGGCAGTCGTTGCTTCGTTTCTCCAACGAATTTAATTACTCAATTAAAAAAAAAGTATTCTTTGGCGTTCAGCTCGACATGACACTGGGCATTGTTTCACTGTGTACGGTAACTGTTTTTATGTCTTGAATGGATTGTTTCAACTGTCTTTGTTTTTCGGTCTGACTTGATTTGCAAGCATCTGTGGTTGGTTTTTTTTTTAAATAATGTTGACTTGAGTTGAGAGTATGGGCCATGATGTAGCCCGAGCAATAAGGAAGCCATCGCCGTGTTGCCATTTTATGTACTTCAAGTCATGAAAACACAGCGCAGCTGAACTTCTCCTTTTTTTTTTTTTTTTTTGACAGCTGCGAATCAACAGGAAGTGAGGCCAAACCACAGAGCTGTCAGAAGAAGCTCTGGTGCTTGTTTCAACACGACTGGAGGAGCTCACCTCCTCTGAAACGCAACGCCTTCGTGACCTCATCGAGGCCCAGCAGGAGGAGGAAGACCAGGCCAGGAGGAGGAGGAGGAGGAGCCGTTTCTCGCTTCTGCTTTTGTTTGACTGCTTCTCCGCCATCCACATTCAAACAGGGGGGTGGGCACACGGGTGGCCGCGGGAGTGGGCTGTGTGCAGCTCAAAGAGGAAGACACACGAGTGTGAGTGAAGCAAGTCTCACACATACACACACCCGGCCAAACAGCAACTATTCGCTTTTTTTTTTTTTTTTTTTGGATGAGCTCCATCAAAACTTTTAACAAGATGCAAACGTCCACCGTGGCGATGTTTTAGAAGAAGCCACAGAAGGCAAAAAGGTAAGATTGGATTCACTCAACATTCTTCTACTACTATTTGACCCTCGACAACGTACGCAGGAATGTAAAAAAGTTTCATTTTGCTGGCAACATCTGCGAGGCGACAAGCTGTGACCTGCTGGGCTGGTTTGTGTTTTGTAAGAGCGGGAGAGAAAGACGACAAGTAGCCTGCCTGGTCTATGCCGCTCAGGCTGGGAATTCCTCTCAACAATGCGACCCTTGAAGACTTGCACTGTATTGCTTTTTATCAGGGAAAACACCCAAAGACTTTTACAGGCTGCAGACAAGGACTCTACAGTAATCGCTTGTACACTCGCTTTACTGTCGGAAGTGTTTGTTGAATGCAGCAATTCACGAGGCACCATCATTCACGCCCCAAATCAATTAAAAAAAAAAAAAAAAAAAAGATCGGCATTCACAATCACTTTTACAGTGTTGTTTCGTCAGCAACTTGGGGCCCTGCCGCACAGTAAAGAGAATGGACAGGGAGAGGTGGTAGGAGAAAAAAAAAAGAAAGCACTTCAGAAAATCAGCGACTTGCTTGTAGGAAGAATCGTCAGGTCGGCGTCTTTTGTACTTTGCCATAAGTGGCAAAATCAGTTTTAACACGCTGCTGCTTTCCTGCCAACGTGGGACACTTTGCCACAAGGACCAACGAGGACAGAGGGAGTTGGTCAGTCAGGGAAGTCAAATGACCACCCCGCCCCCAAATCGTAGCAGCTTGTTGCTAGACAGAATTGATACGATGCTATCGTTTGGGGCAGTGCCCCACACTCGCAAGAGAGGTCAAAATGAGTTGGTCGGAAAGTCCGATAACCTCCCAGGGCACGGTAACTTGTTGCTAGGCAGACTCCGTAGGGGCAGCCATGGCTGAGTTCGGCGCGGGTGGTCTTGTAAGGGTTGGCTGCTCAAATCCTTTTCCTAGTCATGTGCTGTTGTGTCCTTGGGCAAGAGGGTTTACCTACCTTGCCTCCAGTGTCACTCACACTGGTGTAAAGCCAGGTGTGGATGTTTGGGGGGGTCGTTGCAGGGGCTGCGTCAGCCTGTCCCAGGGCATCTGTGACTACACAACAAACGTGATAATGTGTGAAGCGTTTTGAGGATCCATAAAAGCACTATTAAAAAAAAAAACAATGGATTATTACTTGGGCACCAACATTTGTGCCCCAACGCAATGAAAGCAATCGCTTTTAAAGACGATCCTAATTCTACATTTTCACACCTGTTCAAGTCACTTCATCACGCGACGCCTGGAGGGGGCACCGCCCCGCGCCAGCCCACCTCACCTCAACTCATCCCACTTCTCCGATTGTGTGCTCGCCCCTACAAGGCTCGAAATTGATGGCGAGCGCCGAGCTGAACGGGCACACGACCCAAGGTGCGGCCCCGATGGAGGCTGCTGAAAAAGCCAGGAATGAAGATGGCGCAGCTGCTGAGAAGACTTTAAATGATGAGGATGAAGAGGATGAGGAAGCGCACGCGCAGGAGGGAAGCCCCGATATTCAGCGTCACTTGTTAGATATCTATGCGGAGGATGTGCAACAGGTTAGTGTGAACACACTACGAATGTGCGACAAGCTACGTGCTGATCACGGCACGGTGCTGGCAAGTCACTAACACTAAATGTGGAATTTATAGGAGCAAAGAGGAAAAATATTCATCATTGTGGTTTTAAAAATTGCTATTCACACAACTCTATTGTGAACCTTCACTATGTCATGGTGGATTTTGTGATGGACCCATTCCAGGATGTCGGACTAAAACCAAATCATACAAAATCCAAAGCAATATTTCCCATAGAGAATAAAGTAAATCCAATTAATCTGTCTCGGACGCCTAAAAATTTGAACCCAAAATACAAGCAATTGAAAGTGGTAGGCAAAAGAATCACAGTTTAAGAACATCGGCGTGCTATTCGCCTTTTTTGATGCATTAAATGTCTTTAAAAACTGTTTAATTGTGAACCTTTTGGGGTACAAATGTTACTGTGCACTATGTATCGATTGAATCATTATTTAACTGCAGTTTGAATTCCGAGATTTAAACACACTATTCATGTACAAATTACAAAAACATTACATTTACCTTTTAGAAATAAAGGCTGGATTTACTTTTTCAGGTGGAACTTGGTGTTAAATGTATTTAGAACCATCAAGTCTCCTCAAACATGTAGAATACATGAAGAAACAAATCGCAGAATTGGGTTGACAGGCTCTTTTAAAGGAATCTAGAAATTGAATGAGTACTTTTTGGGGGGGGTCCTTTTCTCCATCCACGCTCCTGCCAGGCCGGCCTCCCGCCGTCAGATTTCCCAGAGTCGCTGTACGAGCTGCTGTGCACGCTGCAGGAGGGCCGCCGGCTCAACGACCAGCGCTGCTCCTTCATGCTGGATGGCGGCATGAGGAGGCGATGCCACTCCGAGCCCAACGCCGCCAAGCCTTCGCACAGGGGTAAGACGTATTAAAGGAGCAGCGCATGCAGCATTAAATTCGGATTTTTGTCAATAAACTGCAATGCCAACTTTGTATCCAATTACCCGGCAACTCGATTAATCGATGGAATAACAGAATCATCGATTCTGAAAGGATTTGAAAGTCTGTAATCTGCAACGGTTTTATGCCGTGTCGTTGCCAGTGATCTTCTCATCCATGACGTCGCTGCAGCGCGAGGAGTTTTTCGAACTGGTGGCCAGGGCGCAGGCACGCCGCCTGGATGAGCAGCGGGCGCAGCTGCAAAGGTCGCCTCGGGGCAAGCGGAAAGGCCGAAGCTTCCGAGGAAGTCTCAAGCAACTCTCGTTGGCCAGGAGAGCCCCCAAGATGCCCGCCAAGGAGGAGCTCTACGACATGATCCTCACCACGCAGGTCAGAACAGCCAACTCCTGCTTAGGATTGCAAAATGGACGTCTTTCCCCCCCAAAACATTTTCTTTCCTCGCTTTAGTGACGGCCAAAGCGCTTTACAAAGCTTCACATTCACTTCTTCATAGTGTAGTACCACATTTGTGCCACAACATGGGGGGCAGCACTGAGCTCTACTGGAAGAGTTTCTGCGTAATTACAAGAAGAAGCAAAGAACGTTGCCAACTACATAAACTCCATTTTTTTCATGACAGCGCAGATAAAATATATGCCTCAGAGTATTGTTGTATTCTCAGTTTGTATGTGTGTTAAGTTAAATTTGTTTGAGCGCTAAGAATTACTCTGACGCCTCTTCTAATTTCTGTTCATCCATTTATGTTTCACATTGTATGTTAGCATGAAAAGCAGCTACAGTATTTGTAAATGTTATATTTTGATCGAACACGCGCACACACACACACACACACACACACACGCACACGCACACGCACACAATAATCCGTGAGTTTACCAGTTTTTTTTTTTCGCTGCTGTTGCGGTGGCGCAGGCTCAAGGCAGGCTGGAGGAACAGCGTAGCCGGGCTCCGGGCCCCATGGATGACGACGACTTCTTCTCGCTGCTGCTGAGGGTCCAGGGTGGACGCATGGACGAGCAGAGGACTGAACTGCCTTGCATCCTGCAAACATGACCACCAGGACGATGACAACAGCAACAAAAAGAGCTTGAAATGTGAAAAAAAAGTTTTGAAATTTGCGTTTTGCTTGCTTAAAGTTGCACACCTTCTTGAATGTCTGCTTGAGGTGGGGGTGGGGGGGGACTTGTGTTTGATGACTGGGATTGTTCTCAGCCTAACATTTCATTAAAGGAAAAGTGCATCCTAGCCTCTTGTTCCCTTTGGAGCTCTCCTTCTCGGATGTTTTTGACACCTCTGAAAATGTACTCACTAACATTTTTGAAACTGGCTTTGGGATCCTTGTGGGCAGCTGCGATGAGCCACATGGCAAGTCCTGCTAAACTTTGACCTTCTTTTGGCATGTTTGCGTCCCTTGCGGCCCAGTCAGTTGGCAGGCAGGAGGAGGAAGTTCTGCTCCATCTGTTGACTGATGACAGAAGTCGGGCTCGAGGCGGGATGCTGTGTCATTTCCTCAAATAAAAATAAGAGAGCGCACGCGTACGGTGTTGTTGAGTGACGCGTGGCGACACCGCAGACACGTACAAAACTCATCCGCCATTTGTTGCAAATGGGAAATTCAAATCAATATGCGGTATTTCATGTTGTGCCACCGAAAGGGTAAACAATTAAGAGGAACATGAGGGCTATAAAAAGTGTCAAGCAAGCACATCGAGAAGAAGAAGGGGGAAAAAAAGGGGAAGCCTCTTGACCGGAAAGGCTTCGTCAACTTTTCAATGGTATTACTTGCTCACCAACATGACAAAACAGATCAAAAGAACATTTTTCACCTCCTTTTTTTGTCTTTTACAAGTTGGTAGGAAAGTGATGCAAAAATGAAACTGCTCGACACAATCTTGGTTTGAAGGGGCGCTAGAGAGGAAGTCGTCTCGGTTAAAAATACAAAACAAAACAAAAAAAAAACGAACGCTCACTTTTGGGCTATAAACTGGCAGAAGGCATTCCTTTGGAAATTTTAGATAATTTTTTCTCACAATATTTACCATCTAACATGCCTAATTCCAATATCTGGACGTGGATAGAAAAACGTATAATCTGTCAAACTGAAGCCGAAGGAGTAACTACATCCGTTTTGGTTCGGGATTTTGGACAAAACATGAACACGAGAACCTGTGCAAAACAACATAGAATATTTAAGAATATGCAATTATGATTATTAATAATAATTAAGAATCTAAAAATGATATACTGGGCAAAATAGCATACATAATTAACATTGCAGGCATTTCCATGGTTATTTTGTTTCCAGTGAAAAGATATGATACACCATTATCTGTCTTTATATTGCAAGATTTCACATCGATATGGATTTTGAAAATCTTCTGCGCTATTGAAAGATTTTTCACTCAGAGTATTATTTTAGATCTCCTCAACTGATCACAAATTTAAAAAAATGCAATAAAACAAACAAAAATGAGACTTCCACTTCTGCATTCTCTTACGTACATTTGAAAACGGACATTTTAAACACTTCTACCTCCACTTTATCTCATTTTACGCCTCGAAATTGGAAGAGGCTTAAATCAAGTTTCTTTTTTAACACAAACACAACTGTAATGGCGTCAACGCGTTCAATTTTATCATCGCTGTCACAAGTGGTGGGAAAGGAAACCGCCAGTCGCCAGATGGCGAAAGCGAGCCGTTTCGCTTATTTGAACCCGCATTTCAAACCTTAGTAGAAGAAAACACTTTCACTTCCGCATTTCGACGTGAGTTTAAAAAAAAAAACACCAATAACTGAGATAGCGGAACAAAAGTAGTTCAAATGAATGTGACGTCGAGCCCGTGCGATTTCCAGCCAGGAGGCCAATTGCAACACACAACAACTCGCATGAGGACCAACGACCACATTTGGAGGCAAGTCGATTTCACGAACTATACATTCATTACGTTTCTTTCTGGTTGATTTGCGATGCACTTTTCGTCTTGCACTGCAGCACTTGGACATCATTTGTTGAATGGCGAGTGCTTGAAGAATCGATTTGATGATGATTGCAGTGTAATTATTAAAAAACAAAATACACGATGTACGTTGTTTAAGGTTGAAATGACATGTTTGTAACTTTGCGCGTGTGAGAGAGACTGCAGTGAAGTGATTGTCATTGTAATGGGCAAAACAATCAGTGAATTATCTCCAACTAAAATTTCAATCAAGCAAGCAAATGAGAACCCCGTAAAATTCGTAGTTTATGCATACATCTTGTCCAACGTTTTTTTTTCCAATCCAGTACAGGACATTTTTTTTTACAGTCAAATTGGATTAAAACTTGTCTGAATTGTCATTTGACTTTTATGTGGCATATTCCCCTTTCTTACATTCAACGTTCAAACTGCAGAATGTTACAGTGGTTCACAAAAATAGGAAACATTATGTTGTTTATTTTTTATTTGGTTTACTGGTTTACTGAAGTATCGAATCATACGATGAAAGTGTTTGAAATCATGGAAGCAGCTCACCGTGCTGTATAGATGTGGCACACAGAAACACACACACACACACACACACCAACACACACAAAACCTTCATCGAGCAATCAAGCATCACTTACAATGCTGGTTTTCCAGATGTTCTACCTGTTGCTGCTGATTTGCTGCTTGCCACACGGAGGCGACACATCTCCAATTAGTTGCTACAATGACCAAGGAGATGCCACCGACTGGTAATGACAACTCAACAAAACCATCCAAACCAACTCAACCAACATCAGCCGCTTCTTTTGCACGCCGTTTTGACATTCATTCCACGAACCGCGTCATTATCTCATGATTATGATGCACACTTTATGCAACCTAACTCAATGCAAACTCTGATATAGTACATATACATGGTGAGGAAACTTGTCCGACTTCCAAAACGTTGGTGTTTACCTCCCTCATAATTGATGTTACGAGCCCGTATCCACTGCCTAGTCTTGTTCTTTTACTCAAAAGCTGTGCTGATGTCCAATCTCCATCCCAAATGATGCAACGCCGTAAATATACGCAGCTTTTTAGCAATGGGGGGTTTACAAAGCGCAATGTGACTCAAGATGGCCGAGAACCTCATTCACATGTAGCTGGCGAAAAACTGCCTTGACAAATGTATCGGTCGATGGCACGATTCCAGATGAGCGTCCACGCAAGCCAATAAATGAGGCCTTGCTGACATGCAGAAAAAAAACAAAAAGCTAACAAATGTGTTTCTGTTTTGTTTTCCTTGATGACCGAGGTTTTACATGTACAAGCTGCCAAAGAAACACGGCACACAATCAGGTTTAAACTACTTGCTGCTGGACAAGGGCAGCGCCGCCTGGACGCCCGGCCAGGGGAGCATCAATGACACCACGGGAGCGCTGGGCAGGACACTCGGACAACTCTACTCGCAGGCTGAAGTACGTGTTCGCTCGCTCCTTCGTCCTACCCGCTCTCTCACATGCTCTCACGAACCGCAAAAAGCAGTTGTGAGAAACGTGGCTAAAGGCAGGATAGCTCTAGTCATAAAAGCACACCTTCAAATATGAAGTGTCCCTTTATTGATTTTTTTTTGTACTTGTTCTTTTTGTCAGAATGCAGAAGTAGCGTACATCCTTTACAACGACCAAGATCCGTCAGGGCGGAACCACAAAGGAGGACATACGAAAGGTGAGCTCCACTCGAGCAGGAGTTCCAGTTGAAGTCCTTCTGTGACCAATTTGGAACTCAACGTACTCGTATGTGAAAATCACTTGTCCCACCGACAGGAATAAAAATGTCATTTGCCCATTCCAGCACCCCCTGCCTGCCCCCCCAAAAAACACATTTGTTTTTATTACACCACTTAAATCAAGGGCAAACCAAAAAATGGAGGAATCAAGGTACTATGATGCCCTGGCATGTGGGCAAGAAGAGCTACATTTGAAATTGCATTTTCAGCCCTTTATTGGATGGGAGAAACATTCAAGCACATGCGCAAGGAGTTGGCGTAGGCCGCAGCTCAGCCCCAGACTCTCGTATTTTGACTAACTCGCCACTCACTGGGCCCCGCCCCTTAAAGGCATGTGTTCAACACCAATATTTAATACATGTAGTGATTTCACTTTATGACACTAATTTATTCACCTTCCATCCATCCATCCATTTTCCACCGCTTATCCGGGGTCGGGTCGCGGGGGCAGCAGCTTTAGGAGGGAAGCCCAGACTTCCCTCTCCCCAGTCACTTCTTCGAGCTCTTCCTGGCGGATCCCGAGGCGTTCCCATGCCAGCTGGGTGACATAGTCTCTCCAGCGTGTCCTGGGTCGTCCTCGGGGTCTCCTGATGAGGAATTTATTCACCTATATTCTCTTAAATGTTTTTATACAAAACGGTGCAATTCTTCTTTTTTTTTTTAATGCATTAAAAATACTGCCCCCTTGAGGTTGGAGGCATAACATGCTTCTTAATTGCATTCTGTGCCAGGAATATTTTATATTTATTTATTTATTTCTGATTTTTAATTTATTTTTTTTAAGAATCCAGGCATTCAATCCTATTTTCATCTATGTATTTATTTTTTGTTTTTTCACATGGTAGGGTAACAAAGGGTCTGAAAATGGCGGGCACTGAATATGTGAGTTGCTTGTTTTTCTTTTTTTCACCTGGCTTCACTCAAGCTGATTGTTGTCAAGCTTTGTCACAGAAGGAATTCAACCGCTAAGTCATGACTTCACTCGAGAGGGAATTCCAAACATTTTGTTGGTGGCGTTCCACGAATCTGATGCTTCTGACCGAGGAATACGTTTCTGACCTTTTGTTGCATTTCTTTTAATGCGCGGAGGTGTGGTGCTGCTGGACAGGTCTCAGGGTTTCTGGCTGATCCACAGCACGCCTGCCTTCCCTCCAACGAGACAAGCGGGACATTACCAATACCCTGGCAGCGGCGCCACTTATGGACAGAATTACCTGTGCGTCACCTTCCCGCTGGAGAGCTTCCACACCATCGGTAAATGCCACAAAAGACAAAAAAAAGAAAAGAGAAAAATTAGTGCACCAAACGGAGGTTTTTCTAATGCGATCCCATACCAATCTTCGACAGGCGAGCAGCTGCAGATCAATCAGCCCAACGTGTACGACTGCGACGTCCCACAATCCTTTGCGACAGCGGCACCGGCTCTGGCCGGCGTGTGCAAAAAAGGCAGCACGCGTGTCCCAGCCACCAATCGCAGTGTCACGCTGACGTCCAAAGGCGGCAGCGCCTTTGTCAGCTTTGCCAAAGGAGCCGCCTTCAATGACTGTAACGCAAAAGCGCATTTTTAACTCACGTTGTCAGTTTTCCCCCTCCCCCGCATAAAAAAAAAATATAAGCCCCAAAAAATAGCTGAAGTTACCCTTTGGGGTCCATTTGATTTTCCGGGATTCAAAGGATAACAATCAAGTATGATCTTCTTTTAAATTCAACCTCTGAAGCCTGTTCTATTTAGCAACATGAAATTGGGTAAGGATGTCAATCTTAAGTAGACCCACAAAAAAAAAAAAAGAAAAAAAAAGTCTGGTGAAACAGTGCGCCAATACATGGAGGAAGTCAGCTGTTTTGGTTTAAAGCAGAAATTTTAGGCTTGTTGTTCAGGCCATCTTCCAACGGATAATCAAGTGTTGTCTTCCCCCCTCCCTACCACCCCCAGAAGCCAGTTTTAATTTGCAACATGAAATTTAGTAATGAAAACACAGAGGAATTCACCCATTTTGGTTGTAAGTGAACGATTGTCAGCCCGCTCTGCCAGGCCAGCCATTTTTCAAAGTATATCATTGAAGGATTTGCTTTCTTGACAGTTCAAACACTAAAGTTCGTTTGATGATGCAACAATATATTTGGAAAGGATGTCAATCATATGGAGAGCCACAAAAGTCTCCATGCCCCAAAACACGCAGGAGGTCAGCCAAGGAGGTCAAAAGGGAAGCTTGTCCTCAAGATTTTGCCTGAGTGCTACTAAATTTGAAGCATAAACACTCGACCAGGGATGCCTAAGTCTGTTCATCAAGAGCCAGCACACCCGATTCAAATGATTATATGATCAGAAAGCTCCGTCCGAGTGTGTCAGAGGAGCGAGACCTCGAAAACAGGCTGGACAGGGGCTCTCGAGGACTGGACTTGGGCACGCCTCCAGTGGACAGATGCACGGCAGTAAAGTGCCAAAAGGGATGTTTGGGGATGTTTCACCTACCCTTCTCCTCTTGTTTTCTCCTGCCGTAGACCTGTACCAGTCGTGGGTGGCCCCCACCCTGCAGTCGGACCTCCTTGTCCAGTTCTGGATCCACTCGGGCGGTATCCTGCCGTCCAATTGCAGCCTGGGCTGGAAGGTGCTGGACGTCACGCAGCTTTCCCCGGGCGGCGTGTTGACCTACAACAACAGCAAGGACCACTCCAAGTGGGCCGTCAGCCCCGAGCCGGTCGCGGCCGGAGGGGGCGGCGGAGGTTGGATTTGCGTGGCGGACATCAACCGCAATGAGGCGGAGGAAAAGCGAGGGGGCGGTGCGCTTTGTCAGCGAGACGTCGCCGTGTGGAAAGCGTACCGGGGCGCCGCGCTCGAGTATCAGGCGTGCCAGGCTGGGGCCCAACCGGCAGCTGCATTGAGGCGAATTCACGTTTAAAAAATTGGACATTGTTATCAAGATAAATGCTCTGAAATTACTTTGGATTTTATTGATGAATCTTTTTTTTTCTTTTCATCTGAAACACCAGACAGATATTTAATTTATACATCAAAAAAAAATGTAATCACTCTCGCAATTCCTGGAATTTTGTTGGGGGTGAAGCAAAAGTCGGAAAGACCTGGAAAAAAAAATTGAAGCTAATGGCCCCCCCAAAAAAACATTAGAAATAGGTGCGGGAAATAAATTAAAAAAAAGGGAAAAAAACGTTGAGAATGCAGAATGTGGACAAAGGAACCGAAAGATGTTGAAAATGAATACTAGCATGAGATTGAAAGTGATACAGGCAAAGGAAAAACAATTACACTACATGTAAATAATTCCCAAAATTTGGAGATACCTGTATGTGAAAAAACTCACAATATAAAATAAAACAAAACTAAAAAAAAAAAAAAACGTTTGGAAATACAAGTGGGAAAAAAAAAACAATTTGACATACTGGCAACAAAATTGACAAAATGTACACATACACAATTTGGACAGACGTGCAACAAAATCTTGACCTCCCCCCGAAAAAAATAAATACAATTTAGTATTTTGTTAGATCTTTCTTGCAAAGATGACAACATAGGTTGATGTGTGGCACCAGATGTTCTTTTAATAGGCAGAGTTCAAAGTTGCTAGAAAAGTACATTTGTGTGTGCAAAAATAGGACATTTATTGGAGATATTTACAAGAAGGAGAGAAGCACCTTCTACAGGAAGGCACCAAAAACAAGACGACGTGATTTTGTTTCAGTAAAGGGACATCAGCTCCATGTCGCTTCGGTGGCCTCGGCCTAGCGGGAGGCCTCACCGGCAACGACCGCACGAAATGCAGCCCAAGTCCCAGCACTAGGACTTTCATACACCTTGACGCACATGTTGACAAGTGAAAAAAAAAGTTAATTTTTGCTTCGATGGCTAATGTACAAGAAACATTCAAAATTCCATACTAACAAACAAAAATCTTCATGTTTTGGTTAAAAAGAGACAAAAGTTGGAGGTATGCATGAAAACAAACAAAACTATTTGGTGATCCATTGAAAAGCAACCCAGATTTTGAGATGTGTGTGGAAAAAAGAACTTGGTTAAGCTGTTGGAACGTGGGGGAAAAAATGGGATGCATTCAATGTAATCTCACATTCAAAAGACTACCTTAGAAAAACACAAATATTTTAAAATACAAAAAAAAATGCATTTGGATCGATGCAAAAAACATGAACATACGCTGGAACATTTTTTTCTTGTCATGAATCTAATTTTGGAGTAAGGGAAAAGAAAAATCACATGGGGGGGCAGTGGAAAATCTCACCAAATTTGGAGACAGGTTTAAAAAAAAGCAGAATGCAGCATGTAGGTAGAGGAACTGAAAGATGTTGAAAATGGAGATTTCAACATGAGATTGAAGGCGATACAGGAAAAAAAATGCGGGTACAGTACTTGCGAAAAATTTAGAGATGTGGGGAAAAAAGACATCACAAAAATAGAAAATAACACAAAACAGGAGCCAACAAATCAATGTTTGGAAACAAAAAAATGGACATATCTGCAACAAAATTTTCAATACTTGGACAGCAATGCAAAAAACACAAAAGGAAAAACAATACATGTGAAAAATGCTTAAAAATTTGGAAGTGCAAAAACTCAAAATTTGCAGAGAGACAAAATGTTTCACAAAATTTGGAGATACTTGCACAAGATGTAAATTCTCCCCCTCCCCCCGAAAAAGCAATTTTGGAGATTGCTATCAGGGGGGGAAAATGTTCCCGTTTTGGTGGGCAACACTTGGTATGCAGACTGGACAAACACATTCAGATCAAAAACAAACTAACAACAAACAAAAAGTATTTGAGCATCCAAGCAACTAACATTCAAATAAAACATGAAAAAAAGAGAGTGTAAATGTCAAATGAAATTTTACAAAATAATTTGGTTGGAGCTGTGGAGAGAAAAAGGAACTAAAATGATTGAAAGTAAAATGCAATAATATTTACTTAAAAAAATGAAACAAATGCTTTTACAAAAACAAGATCAAATACAACTTACAGAAAATAAAAAGAATGAAATTAAATTAAAAAGTACATTTGGTCAAGGCTGTATATTATATATGTATTGTATATTCATAAGATTTTTTTTTCAAAAAGCAAGCAGCAAATATAAATTCAATTAAATAAAATTGCGGAGGAAAATTTTCCTGAAGTAAAATGGGGGGAAAAAAATGGCCCAACAACATTGATATTGGATCATAGGTAGTGAACTGAAAGTGCCGTGTGCCGAGCTGGCGTCAAAACAGAGTTCGGGCTAATCTCCTTCCCTTGGACTTGATTCGCGGGTACGTGGCGGCAGTGTTCTCCGATTGGCCGGCGGCCGGTGAACCGCTGACAGACATGTCACTTGCTTTCCTCCTCAACAGGAAGTCCACGCTGGATGACGTCATGGCGTAGAAAACGTTGCCCGTGGCCGGGATCAGCAACTCTAAGGGAACAGCCACGCCATCCACATCACTCGTAAATTGCGTGGATTAAAAAAAAAAAAAAAAAAAAAAAAAAGGGGACGGAGCCCTGCGGCAAATAATTGAGACCCCGAAAAGGTTTATCCAAAGCATTAATTTTGTCTAAATGAAGCTCATCCTCACAGTTCAACATAGTTCTCGAGCAACAAATGTCACCAAAGCAATGCTTTTATACTCAACAGGGCTTTGGTCCTTTAATGGAAACCACAATTGTTAAAAAAACAAATAATACGAAAAGCTTTAACACTGAATGCAGCACGAACTATGGTCTACAAAACACGTTTATATCGATAAAAAGTCAGCAAAACCCAAGACCCACAACTTCCACGAACAACCCAAGCTAAAGTGAGGTGAGCTAAAGTATGTCAGGGAGGCACCCTGACATACCTCCTCGACACCAATGACTATGTTCTTATTAGCCAGAGCTTTGCGGCTGAGAATAGGTTGACGGGAAGAAAGCAGCAACTGGCAATGCGCCAAGAGGCGGGGTTTATGCAAGCGCACCTTTTCCATCAGGCAGAAGTTGAATCAGCTCATAGGATGACGCCCGCGCCGGGTCCTGGTTGTGCTTCTCAAGCGCCGAGGCGATGGCAGCCGGCGTCTTGTCGTTGCTCGTCACCTGAGGACAGACAAATCCAAGTGTTCGATCAGCTTCAACTACATGATGATGATGATGTAGTTTTGATTCGCTGAATCTGTTCAGCCCTAGAGTGAACCAGATGAGCGAGCGTCGACTGACCAGGATGCTGCGGTACAAGTTGCCGTCTTGCAGATCCATGCGGATCCTGATGATGCGCATGTCGGGCCCCGAACTTTGACCCTTGCCGGCAGCGGCGGAGGCACATGCGTTGTTGCCGCAGGAGGCTGAGCGGCGGTGGGATTTGGGAGGCGTCCCGGGAGCCAGATGGAAGGCCGCCGGGTCGTTGACGGGCGGCGGCGGCGACGACGTGTCCACGTCCAGACACGACACTGACGGAGATCTCATGTGCTGGAAATAAAAACAATAACAAAAACACATATGATAGGAAAAAAGTTATCATCTTTAGTTGCAAATAACATGCTCCTCTAAAATACAAAACGTGTGACGTTTATTTTTCCGCCCCTTAAAAATTCTCCTCGAATATTCATATTTTTTGTGACTTATTTGGGTTAAAAAAAAAATGTACATGTAGGATTCTCAGAGTACCGAGAGAAAATCACAAGGAAAAATCCAGACACGACACTGACGGAGATCTCATGTGCTGGAAATAAAAACAATAACAAAAACACATATGATAGGAAAAAAGTTATCATCTTTAGTTGCAAATAACATGCTCCTCTAAAATACAAAACGTGTGACGTTTATTTTTCCGCCCCTTAAAAATTCTCCTCGAATATTCATATTTTTTGTGACTTATTTGGGTTAAAAAAAAAATGTACATGTAGGATTCTCAGAGTACCGAGAGAAAATCACAAGGAAAAAACAAAAGACATCTGGATCCCGGGCGAACTGAACGACGGCCGCGCTTGCCTTGGTGAGTCTGGAGAACAGACTGTTGACGGGCGAGGGCGAGTCGAAGTGGGCGTCGGCATCAGCGTCAGAGGCCAGGCTGCTCCCGGAGCGACTTAAACTGGACACAAGCCGGTGTCAAAAACATTCCAAGGTGGCGAGGGCGCATTTGGCTGGCACTGGCTTACTCGGGGCACTGGGTGATGATGATGGCCGGCATGGTGGCGCCGCGGGAGGGCGTCGCTGCCTCGCTGGGTGCTTCGATCTCATTGGACAGTCTGTAACTGAACCCACACAAGTTGCCGTATCGTCTCAGAGTTTTTAGAGAAGATGCCACACATACAAAGAAGTATGGTTTCAAAAATTAAGTTGTGCATTTTTTTTTGTGAGAAAAAAATTATATTAAAAAAAAAATCTATATATACATATATATATATAAAATCTTGCTTGAATAAAAGCTGTCAATTTTCAAGATAAAGTTCAACAAGATGAGTCATTCAAGTCATAAGTCAAGTCATGTAAGTCATTCACAGTTGAGAAAAAGCTGCCTATTTTCATGAATAAAGCTGCATATTTTGGAGGGAAAAAAAAAGAAAACAAAGTTTGATCTTAAATCAATAAATAAAATCCGAATCTTATCATCACTAAGATGTACAGTTCATTTTAGAGAAAGTAATCTGAGAGTGATGCATATGTGTGTGTGTGTGTGTGTGTGTGTGTGCGCGCGAGTGTATAATACAAGTGGAATATGACTGAATATGTACACTTTAGAAAATACATTTCTATTTTCATGTAAAAAAAAAAAAAAAAAGACAAATAAATTGAGATATAAAAGTAAAGATTTTTGAGTTTGGGGGGACAGTTTACCTTTGCTCATCGGTTAGAGTGGGAACACTGCGGTACCAGCGCAGGAAGGCCTCATCCTGGACCAAGACGCAGTTTTTACATGACGACTGCAGTAGTCGGATTTGAGCCAAAACCTCAAACTCCTGATGAAGAGTTTAAAAAAAGAATTTAAAAAAAGTAAAAGAAGAAAAGCAGAAATGATCTTGTTAGCTTGCAAGCGGGACCTGCTGGTGCTGCCTGCCCTCCTTCGACATGCAAAATGTCTTTGTCAGCAAAGGGTGTGAGAATGTGAGCTGGCTTGATGTACCGGCAGCACTTTCGAGACGGCAATTTAGCGTCATGCAAATGACTTTCTAACATGTCAGCGGCTTCACAGTAGATGAAGACTTCCGCATCTGGTTTGTCATCATTCCTCCTTTATTCTTGTTGTTCTCCATAGATCAGGACGCGGATTCCATGTGTCCCAATTTGATGTAGCAACCCTTTTAAGATTTGAGACCGAACTCCTTTCCCACGTTTTTTGCGTTGAGGTCAATTGAAGGTCAAATAGCAATAGTTTGATTGAAAGTTCTACTGGGATTTGTGAGCTCAAAGGTGTCGTGCTCTTGTTGGAATAACGCTGGACGTGCGTTTGGCATGCCGGGTCTGGATGGCCAGGTGGCTAACGTGGCTAACATGGTGTGTAGGTGTCAATGGCCACTCACCCGTCTGCGCTTGTCAAAGTTGATGTAGCCGTTCTGCAACAACACAACGTCGCCAGACATGTCACCAAAAGAGCCCGACGAACAATAGTGTCCTGCGCCAGGGACAAACGGGACCAACTGACCTCCAGCCGGTCCTTGATGGCTGTGTCCAGCATGGTCAGGTCAGTCAAGAATAGGCCGAGGTAGGGAACCGTACCCTGCGACGTGCCCCACTGCGTGAACCAGAACGACAGAATACACGCAAGAGAAAAAAAAAAAGACAATGACACATAACTTCACCTTAGCAAAGGCTGCATAGCTAACAAATGATGCAAAGTGCTATAGACATGCTCATGTTTAGCATCCATCCATAATCATTGAGGCTCACTCACCCTGGCGTGTTTGTTGTTGATGTTGTTGTTGTCCAGGTTGGCGAACTTGGATGTGCCTTCCTACACAAAACACAAAAAAACAAAACAAAACACATTCATTTAGTACTCATTACACTGACAAGTGATTATTTTTTCAAAGACATTTTCAACACATTTTCCCATGGAAATGAATGACAATGGTATGACTCCATTACAGCCTCCCTGTCAAAGAAAAAAAAAGTTGCAATGCGTATTTGAAAATGGAAAAATAACACTCCATAGTAGTTCACTTGATAACAACACACAGTAAAGGAATCATTCAAAAGAATTTCACAGTTTTTGTCACAATGCATCGATTGAATGGCCGTTGCCTCTGATGTGCCCACCTTGTCCACCGGGAGGCAGCAAAACACAGACAGATGGATAGATATACTGTCCATTGATAGGTTTCAACTGCTCTCAGTTTATCAGTCTGGCAATAATATTACTCATTCTATGCAGAGGATAAAGAAAATACCTCACAAATGGTATGAGATTAATATATGACATAACGTCTCGTCACCTCCTTAAGCAACTCTCGGCTCTGCGAGTAGTTGTCCTTGTCCGAGAAGATCTCACACAGCTCCTCGTACTTCCTCATCGCCTCCCTGTAAATGATGGAAATTATATTGAAGATGAATAGCGGTGGTTGATTGGCACATCTGCCTCACCGTAAAAAATAATAATGTAGGCTGGTACCTGTCGGTGTCCTGCCAGGTTCTCCTGAGGCGGTGGATGGGGTTGCTCTGCAGGGCCGACACGATGGCGTACAGTGAAGAGAAGTTCTTCCTGGCACGGCAGGCCTTTTTAAGGCGTATGCGCACACACACACACACACACACACACACACACACACACACACACACACACACACACACACACACACACAAAGTAATGTACAGCAGAGCGTGCGTTTGTGTGTGTGTGTGTGTGTGTGAAAAGTTCCACAGTGAACGTGAGGTGCTCAAAAACAGAAAATGCAAGACTGGGACTAAAGCTGAGTGGAAACAACATTGTGGATCGACTACTTAAAAGGAGCCAGTGGGGGTTTAAATGATGAATCAAGGGCAGATGGTTGTACAGATCGATGACGGTGCACACGCGCGCTCACCTGGGCCACGGCGATCCACTTCTCCAGCAGCCTGGCTGGCCGATGGCCGCCGGCACCACTCAGGCACGAGGCCAGCACGGCATTGGCCAGACGGTTGAACTGGCGGACGGTGGCCCGCACGGACCGGCACGCACCCTCGCGACCTTTCTTGTCACGCTGAGACCACAGCGAGCCCAGGCAGTGATACGGCACCAGCCGCACGAACAGATCCTGACGCGCACACACATACACAACACATTTGATTTAGGGGGCACGGTAGTGACTCCGAAAGTGCTTGGCATCATTCCAATCGTCATACAAAATCAGGTACTGCCTTGACTTATTAGTCTCGTTTGTTTCCCGTGAGCACGCTTGGAACTCAAATGAATCCAAAGCCCAAAAATACGTTCAAGATCCCCAAATACCACCACGGGAGTCCTCTCCTCTCACCGTTTCGATGCGGGTGAGCTGCTCGGCGACGACGGCCGACGGAAAGCCCAGGATGGCGGCGGCCTCGAACTCGCGCAGGTTCGTTGACGACGGCCGGGTGGCCAAGTTCATGTCTGCCGGGGGTTGGAAGAACATCAGCACTACAACACTACAAAACATGGTTGCAATTAGGGCCCGACCGATGCGGATTTTCGGAGCCTTGTGCAGATTCCAACTCCTGACGAAAAAAAAAAATAATAAAAAAATACGATAACCGATTCACTTCAAAAATATCTAATGAACAGAATCATGTTCTTCGGTTTGGAATGCTGATAACAATAAATACATGAATTACAGTCGGAACATTTCACGACTTCACAATACTCTCATGTAATATTTAACTTTACAATGGACAGGAAAAATTTATGTTTGTGTGACTGTGTCATCTGTGTCTTTTGTAATGTGTTCATGCGGGTTAAAAAACGTGGTGTGTGTGTGTGTGTGTGTGTGTGTGTGTGTGTGTGTGTGTGTGTGTTGCAACCTCGATATGTATCGTCGGGCAGCAGCGCTTTCTCGCTGAGCTCCTCGGCCAAGCTGAGGAAGCGAGCGCGGAGGTCGGCGGCAAACGGCGAGTCTTGAGGCAGAAGCGGTGCTAGTCGCAGGAGGCGCGAAGGATCCTTCAGGCCGCGGAAGTCCTCAGGGTACTCGGACAGCCACGCGCCGAATACCGAGCACACGGCTCTGCGGGGGAAGGGGATGGCGCGTGTTACATTAGGGACACTCATGCAAGCGCCTTGCCTTCCTGAAATATGTTGGTTGACTCTGCCAGAGAGCGATTCATTCATTTCACTTGCTCATGGACAGAGACAGAAGGGACTCGGAACACGGTCAACCCGTTTGTCGCGGCATAGATGCTCCAAATCAGCTTGCAGTAGGTGGGGAAAGGGGGAAAAAAAATATATATATAGCATTGCATATTGAAACAACAAAATGTTCAACTAAAACTTGATGCTAGCTTAATGCCAAACTATAATGTGAGACTCCATTGACAAGCTAACAGAAGTTAGCATACTACGTCTCTGCCTCTTTTTGTTACTGTTCATGACGGTGCATATCTTGCAGTCGAGCTCAGTACTGCCCCATGTCGTGTTGTGGCACAATGAGGTACTACACCAAATTCACGCAACTCAAAATTATAACTTGCCTTCATACAGTTCTGTTCAGGGGCTGAAATTTGGAGGACAATTTCAAGTTCACAACAAAAGGATTCATTGGTAATCAAAATAGTTGCCACTTCATTTGATAATCAATGAAACACTTGCACCTTGAGACACAGAGAAGAACAGACCTGTTGAAGGATTTCCTCAACTGGCCTTCGTCGCCGTCTGCAGGCGGTCGCTCCAACCTGCATAAGCAAGCATGTGAGTGAGGCTTCGTCTGTGTCGGGGGTCGCTACCGAAATCGCAACATGCCTACCGGTCGGTGAGGATGTCTAACACTCTCTGCGTGGATGTGAAGGAGCGATAGGTCGCCAGGAAGATGGTGACGAAGGACGGGTCGCCCAAGGCGAAGGAGCGAAGCAGGTGCAACGTCAGCTTCTCCTCCGTGCCCGCCTTCACGCACTGGCAGCGTGAAATGCACGACTGCTTTGCCACGGCAACCGAAAAGCAAAACAACACACAGCAAGTCATTCCATCTCACACAAACACACTGATATCTAAACCGCTCTCACACACTACTCAATTTTCTTCACTCCCATCCAATACTGAAAGACTCACAGTTTAACTCTCTCACACGCACTATTGAAATTCTTTTGCCCACACAAAACTGAAAGGAACACTCTCACACACACAGGTGAAATTCTCTCACACAATTTACACAAATGGTCTCACATGCACAACTTACTATTTTTTTGCTCGCGTGCACAAGTGAAACTCTCTACTTTGATTTTTTTGCTCATAAACACTCCCGAAATACTCTCACATTTCCTCCCCTCAGACACAAGTAAAAAAAAAAAAAAAATCACACATTAATTTTCCTTCACTCATATCCACTGATGAAACACTTTTACACATTACTGAAAAGGTCTCACATGAACCGAAACATTCTGAACACACACACACACACACACACACGCACACACAAGTACACACCTCTCACACATTTCAGTGAAATGCACTCATAATCTGACATGGGCGCGTGAATGCTGAACACTAAAGGTAGCTGATCTTACCGTGGGGGACCCGGCTTGTTTGATCACCACTGTGTAGATGAGACCGTCCTCTTCCTCCTCCACTACTGTGGACTACACATACACGCCCACGCACGCACACACACACACACACACACACACAAATAATAAACAGTGCACAATTTTGTGATCGAAAAAACACCCCCCCCCCCCCAAAAAAAAGAGCAGTCAGTGGCCTCACCAGATCCAGAGGACAGTACCACGTCGTCTTCATGGGCGACGACTCCACCTGAGCCACCCAAACACAATCAGCGAATCAGAGACTCAGAGCGTGGCGAAGCACAGTATATCGCACGTTGTTTTTTGCACAAGTGGCCCTTTTATCCCTTTTAACTATAACAGACAAGTTTGAGCAATTCTGAGTTACGCCCCTGCAGTGCAGTACAAAGACATGACTGCTCTCTGCTTCGTTGCTCTGTGTTCCTCCTCCATCAGCGCGTGTGTTCAAGTCGCAGTTGTTCAAAGGTTGACAATTCCCCTCACATCTCGTATCGTTTGGGTTAGCCCCCTGATGGCTCTTCTCTTTTTATGTTAGCATTAAGCTAGCAGACTTTGGTTCTTATGTGTTTTTGTTGAACATTTACATGTTGACAAGTACAACGTTGAATATGCTTTTGTTTTCCGTGTCAATCTCACAATGAACTTGAAAAGCTGGCAAAGAGCTGCCAATCATTTTGACAGACACTTCCTGCATAACACAGCCGCGGCTGTTAGACAACAAGTCGTCATTAAGGAAGACATAAAGCTAAACTCTTTTATTTATTTGATTTATTTCTTTTTTAAACACAGCGATCTGAACTCGTTTGGAAGTACAGCGTGGGTGTACTTTTGCCACACATGAGTCAGAAACAAAGCCGGCTGGCTGCCTGGCGAGTCAACAGTGAGCAGCACCTTAGCAACACTCTCCAAACAAATGCTTTGCCTTACACACACACACACACACTCGCACTTTTGAACGATCACGATGATCAATGAGGCACATCGGGCGGCTTTTCGACAATTAGCCGCGGCAAAAGCACAACGGCCTCCGCTAGCCATAGGCAGGGGGACTACGCTTGGGTCGATATCACATAGTGACCAAATGGAAAAAGGAGAACAAAAAAGGGAAAGAGCAAGATCAGATAACAAGATGGCGGATACAAACAGCCCAAAGGAGTTCCCTCCGGGAGGAGTCGAGCCGCTGCACCCAAGACACGCCGGAGAGACGACGGTCGTTCGGTTGGCCTGGCAACGCCTCGGAACAGCTGGGTCAAGTCAGGGCTTCCCTGCTTCAGCTGCTGCCGGCGTGAGCCCACCCCAGGTAAGTGCAAGAAGAGGGATGGATGAAAGCCAGACTTTTTCCCAAAAGCAATGTAGCCCGACGACCGTCCAATCATGAAAAGTGGCTGCACGCTATGCGGCAGTTGAGCGGCATTGGGTTGTGAGGCTCGCCGGATCTTACGTGACCTCTACCGTTTGCTTGCTTTCCAACAATTCCCTAAATTTGAGCAAAGCTCAAAAGCAGGCCTCCCGCCCGGTATGTGTGACAACACAAAAACCAGTTTTTCCACTCACCGCTTCTGCGCAAACGCAACTTTTGGGATTGGATCTCGCCCATCCAAGAAGCCCAAAAACACAAACGCGCTTCACTCAAAAAGTTGTCAAAAAACGTTGACATAGTGATTCAGGAGGTGAGACTTGTCGTATGAACCCGAACACAGCGACTGAAAGCGCGCAGACGCGCACACACACACACAAACACACGTTCAAGTACATATACTGCAAACCTCCAGAAAGAGACACGCAAGTGCACGCGCACCCATTGGATAAAGCCACTGACCCTTGATCTGGCAAGTCCAGACAGGAAGCAGCAGCGTAGCTTCCTGGAAATGTTCAAGATGGAGGCGCAGCGGCTCTTTGCATTTGTGCGCCGGGCGTTCTCCCTCATGCATCTGACGGGCCTCCGCTTCCGAGACGACTTGCTGACACAAACGCTCCGGCCGCTTAGTTGCGACTCACGGTACGCACACCTGAGGCAAAGCCCCCGCCTGTACCTGACCCCCCCCCCCACCCCCCCCCCCCGCCCTTCATTTTAATACCACAAGCAATATTCCAAATGTCACTGGTCTCATATCAACAAGAAGCCCAGTAGTGGAGCGAGAAAAAAACAAACTATGTTGTATGGATGCACCACCTAGTGGCTTAAAGGCTGCTGTTTTGTGTACTCACTGATTTGGTGTTGTGACTCTTCTTTCAAGACAAAATTAGGATAGGGAGCTTCCCCAAAACAAAAAAGGAACTTCGGTTGAATCAAAGTTCATCACTTAAGAAGCGGGAGGGCAGCAAAGCTTCTGCTTCTTCTGTTTTGCCGACCGACTTTTGATGACCTTTAGTCAGATGATCATGATCTGATGTGGCCGTCCAGACCACGGTCACGCCAAATGATATTCACATACGAAAAAGGCCTATGTCGAATGTGGGGGAGGAAAAAAAATCAGATTTGTATTGATCACATTGCGTGAACAAGAAATCTGAAAATTGCATTGAAATGAATGGCACTCAATAATAAACATGTTGAATTTTTTGTTTAAAAAAATGCAATTGTTGATTATTTTGTATTTATGCAGTATAGCAATGGAGCACATTTTTGTCAGTGGGTTTCTGCAAAGCAGTGGTTCCGCGACATATGACGATGGCAAGGAGTGGAAGCCTTTCACGAGCCGTCATCGACATGCCGTTTGTTGTTTGTTGTCGCGAGCCGCAGCTCAAAGTTGGCCCGAGCACAGGAAGTGCAAAATAAGAGCCGACAAACACAGGAAGCAGGACGCCCGGCCGTGCTCTTGCCGTTCCCTTCGTCCTCCACTCAACTTGCGTCAGTCAACGCAGCAACGTGCACTGCAGACAATAGATGGATGGATCGTTCCTCTACAGTAGAAAATCCCTTTGCACAAGTCTCCTTTATAAGCCCCCCGCAGCCCAAAAATTTGCCCAGGCCCTCACTGATAACAGGCTCAGCGACACAAAATAGCACAACCAATCCAAACCTGCTCTGTTCATGCTATTTCCTCAATTCCTTAATAGTTACCCTGTTTTTGGATATTTTTTTTTCCTCCAACAGATGATTACGATATGCACTGAAAAAAAAAACCCTGAGTTGTAACTACATCTTCGGAGGTCAACCATTGTGCGGGTTTGTGTGTTTTTTCATAAAGGATATTCCCCAGGCACACCGGCTTCCTTCCTGCTCATCTTGCCAGCCTTTCATCCAGCAAGGCGCTATCTGCTCTCCGCTACATCTAACATGCTCTATTCCCAGAAAAATGTTCAGATCAAGCGGGCCAATCAGGAACTGCTGTGCCAGATGCTCAGAGGCCTTCAGAGTTTGTACGCTCATGAAAAACCTGGAAAGCTATGAACATGGAAAATGCATTTCACATTTTCAATCTCAAACAACCACATAGGAAACTCAGCTTAGCTTAATGCAAACAACAACAACAACAATATAAAAATGCAATTGACAGGCTCACGGAGAGTATTGGTGTCTTGTGGTAGTATCGCCATTTTAGTAAGCGATATTTGTACACAAGCGGCGCAGCAGCACGTGTAAACAACATCCAACTCAGGCAAATGCTCTTCATATTCTGCGAAAAGCTACAAAAAAATACGACAGCTTTCTGAGTCATGTGTAGTAGCTGTGAAAGTCTTCTTCATTTGGGCCACCATGAGTACTATACTGCCCCCAGTGGCCAAATCCCACAATGCTGATGCATGAAGTGATTCTGTTCTATTTAATGATCTTATTATGATCAGTTTTGAATCAAATACAATATGAGAGAGCGCTATTGTCCTTACAAAAACACAAGGGTGTGCTTACTGTGCTAGTTTGGAATGGAAGCTATGTCAAACAATCCCTGTCCCACCGCAAGCGACTTTCGCGTTGCCCAACATTGTCATTCAAGTCCAGCGAGCAGCCGTATCGGATTCCATTTTTGAGGCGGTGCCGTGAAAGTCGATCCCGCTGTGAACTCAAACTGTAGCCGACGGCCTGCCTGAAGCCACCACATTCATTCATTATTGAGCGCACGGCCAGAGATGAGACGGCGAGGAAAGGAAGGCTGCTTGGAGTCGCATGCGGGTCCGGCCCACGTGGGAAAGAAAAAGCTAACGCAACAGATATTATGATCTTATTCGACACCCCAAAGCAATTATTTGCCCCAACTTTTGACACTCAACTACTTTCACATTTCTCAACTGATACAAACCACATATTTCCTTCTACCCTAATTTACTTTCCCAGAATTCACCATTTTCCACCCCAAAATTCGCCATTCATTCCCAATAAGACATTAAACAAACAAACAAAAATTCCACATCTTTCCCATTCAAATTCACAATAATCTGCTTATCTTTTAAACTTGTTTTTAACTAATTTATCTTTAGTAGATTCACCATCAATCATCAAATAAATTGGTCATATAAATTATTTGGGATTTCTATGAGATACGGCAATTGGTCAACTATAATCACATGAAGGACAAACAATTCCATTGAAAAATAAGACTTTATGATTCAACGGAACTCATTTACACAATGTTCCCATGCAGCCACATTTCCAAACGATGGCTCTATCTTTGTCTTTTAAGCACGGATTGACATCAGCCTCCTCCTCATCAGGCAGGTAAACATTAACAGAGTTCCAAGGTGGTGGTGGGAAGTTGACACATGCGGTCAAGCTTCTCACTCGCTCCCTTTTGGTATTTTGCTCCGCTTGTACAAACGGCAAAGTGTTCCACATTTAGTCATCAGAATCGGTAATGAGCTCAGCGCTGGCTTCTTTTGGAGTGGTGCTAGTGAGGCCTAATTAATTGCAAAACGCCTCCAATCGGAACTCACCTGCAGAGTGGCGTGCGGGTCGCCTGAGGGGTCGCCGCAGAGAGGCCGGTAAGCGAGAAGGGGGACTGCGCTGGACTCGCAGCCCGGCAGGTCATAGCCACCTGCTCGCGTGTGACGGGGCAACATGCTGACAAATGCAGCTGCAAAACAGACACACACACACACACACACACACACACACACACACACACACACACACACACACACACACACACACACACACACACGCACACAGGTCAGAAGTCACACCTTGGAAATTTCAAATGCTCTCCTGTTTGAATAAACAAATAGATTTTTTAAAATAATGTTAAGCTGCTGTCCAAATACGCACAATGTATTTTTATTTTTTTGATTAAAAAAAAAAAAAAAAAGCAAAACTTGACGACTGACAAATGGTGAGGCCCTAATGGAGGATTTCTCTCTCAGTGAAAATGTGAACGACGAATCCCTTCTGTGCTCGCTTTTGTCCGAATCATCAGATTCGTCTTCACAGGCCACGCATATTGACAAATACACAAGCTATTGAAAGACGTAGACATTGCTCCTTTTCTTTTTATTCTCTTTTCATTCAACATTTTTGGCCCACAGGAAAAAAAAAAGCCACAACTTACAGTGCAGTCTGTTTATTTGGGGATGCTTAGTTCAGCACAGCTCTACAGGCTCAGGCTGGGTTTTGATGAACACTTAGCCTTAGAGCACAACTGTGCTTTCATGTTGGTCGTCGTGATGATGCTCCTCCAAGAGTCAAGCATTTCTGGAGGTGCTAATTTATGTCTAAAGTTTGACAAGTACTGATTTAGCTCACTGCAATTAGCAAAAGGTGACTCTTAGCCACCAACTTTTCAATTGGTTGTGGTGTTTTATTTTTCTTCCTTGTTTTCCAAACACGTTGAAAAATGACTTGGGCAACTGTGCTGTGAGGCTAAGGACGAGTTAAAAAAAAAAAAAAAAAAAGGGGGGGGGGGGCTCCCACAACGAAATGGCATCTGTCTTGCCGCTAGCAGATATGCTGGCAATCCCAACATCCCGTTGTGTCATTTTGCATGGCTTGCATCTGCATTTCTACTTGCTGCAGTTTTTTTTTTCCCCCCCCCCTTTTGCCAACGGCCATGTACACGGCTGGAGGCCAGCCCAGACCGCCGTTTGTCGGTTGGTCATCCAGCCTTGAATGAATAGCCGCTATTCATTTGCGGGCAAACAGCTCCCAGATGATTCAGTGTGTACACACAACACAACACAGCAAGTTGAGAGCCCAGCATCAGCATTGCACTATTGTTGCTGTGTAGACTCTCTATTAGGAAAGGACGAGATGGGGGGGGATATATAGTGTAAATATGTATTTTTTCCCATCTTGTCCGATCTCAATTATCATCACAATTTTTTTGAAATATTGTTTTATATTGCCAGTTCTAAAGTAACCCAGCCGCTGGGGGGCAGTGCCCTCCCCTGGGGGTGCACTGTTCCCCAGTGCCGGTCCCAAGCCCGGAGAAATGGGGAGGGTTGCGTCAGGAATGGCATCCGGTGTAAAACTTTTGCCAAGACGACCATGCGAGTTGGTAGGACGGTTTACAGGGGCGGATGGAAATTACTGACTCGCTGTGGCGACCCCTGAATAGGGACGTGCCGAAAGGAGAAGAAGAAGAAGATTGCCAGTTCTAAAGTAGGGAATATCTGATCTGATCCACCGGATCGTTATTGAGTCCAATCCAGGTTAAAATACCTGTATCAGGATCGGATTGTTTTTATTAGAACCAGTCTGATCCAATCTATAAGCCCAAAGTATATCATTGTACACTCAAGGCTGTAGTAATGGTATCGGATATCAAATAGTGGTATCGACCCTTCCCTATTTTAAAGCATCTAATGCTAAAAATTTAAACCAGTGAGTACTTCAATATTTAATTTATATATTTTAAAACAAAATTAAAAAGAACAAATAAAAATATGAAAACAACAATAGTAAAACTATTTTAGTCATCTGTACAACTAATGTAGAAGAATATGAAATAACACAGTGAATTCATTCAGTCTTGGGTGTTTTAGCAAGTATGGAGGCCCCAAAGTAAACAAACTGCCCCGGCGTTAACATTTTTGCAACTTGCAAATGTGCATGGAAACACGTGACCCTGATCGGCTGATATGTCACACACATTTGTGCCACATCTGTTCCAGTTAATATGCTTGCTCACACAAGATCACTAATTGACCCGAAATTGACCACGATCACCAATTCCAATCCAATTGTTCTCATGCAAAACAGTCAAAATGTCCACACGCACACCTGTAACCAGGTGACAGTAGTCCCAGCCCTGCTGGTAAACTGCAGTCAAGCAAGCAGTAAACCTCAAACAAACATAAACGTCCAAGATCAGGTAAGTCACGCTACGAAGGAAAACGTAGTGTTCAATCATAGACTCGTTACAGTCAATTCGACAGCTCGTATCGCAAAAACTCGCAAGTCGGACCACCCGTATCTCACGGCATCGTTTTGCATCTCCTGGACATTCTTTCCAAGTCGTTTTTCCACGGACGGTCACGTGACCGCGACAAGGACGTGGTGACGTTTCCGCGACAGCAAACGTGATGAAAAGAGGAAGAGGGCACCAAAGAAGGAAGCGAGCGGCTCAACTTACAACATGTGTAGCTCGGCCTCGGCTCGGCCTCACGAGGAGCTGCTGGATGCGGCTGGCCGACAGCACCGCCGCGGTCGCGGCCGCGGCGACGAGAGAGTCGCGCCCATCCGAAACTCTAGACTGTCGTCGTCAGGAAGGGAGGGCAGGGGTGTTTGCTCGCTCGGGGGTGAGGGTGGGGTGGGGGGCGTAGTCGACCGCCTCTCCCTGCTTGCCTGCCGCGCCTCCGTCCTCTATCTTCTCGGCCGTCGCGCCTGTGCGAGCAGCTGATAGGCGACCGAGTGACTCTCTCTCTCTCTTTCTCTCTCGCTCTCTCTCCTTCCCTCCCTCCACCCCCCCCCACTCACGGTGACGTCACAGCTGCTGGCAACAGCGTCGCCACCAAGCAAGCAAACATTGGGAGTCGCTAACACATTGATGGTGACTATCCTCAACAACGCGTGCTCAATTTCAAGATCGAAAAAAAAGAGACTACTACTCTGGCTTCCTCCAGCAGAAAAAGACCAAAAAAGCGTTCGACTCAAGTGGTTCCAATGAATTGATCTCACTTTGGGTTTCTTCCCCGCTCAAAAAGCACATTAGTTTTGAAAGAAATAATGACAAAAAATGGCATGGTGTGCTCGTGGTAAGCATGTTGAGAGAGAGGCTCACGGTTGAAAGATTCTTGGTTCAAATCTCAGATGATTTTCTAGCTCCCCTGGCCTTTTCTGTGGAAAAAAAACACAACAAAAGGGACATTAAAAAGACTAGGTAACACAGTGCAATCGGAGTTCCTCACAGTCAAAAGGTTCTGGGTTCTAATATGACATTTGTTTTCATATCCTTAAAAACGGAGCGGCACGATGGACTCGTGGTCAGTATGTCTATTTTACAATCCAGTGTGTATGCATTCATGCAAATGCGCAATTAGCGCAGGGCAAACACGCAAAATGTGTGACGCGTGTCAGGTGATGTGTTAATTAATTTCAAAGAAAGAACACTGTGACTATAATAGCCATAATGTATTTTTAATCCTTTTTTGAGGGCGTCAATCAACGCAAACTGAGCAGTATTTTGCTCACTTGTTATGCGCCCCTCCTGGTGGACCCTTTTTGTATTGCAGGAGAAAGACCACCACGAGAGAAAGTGTTGGCAGCCGGGGGCCATTTTGAAACACACACACACACACACACACACACACACACACACACACACACACACACACACACACACACACACACACACACACTCCGCCAGGCAGGCAGTCAGGCTTCTTGCTGACTGGCGTGACTAATACAGATGCTCGAACACAGATGATAGAATCCAGCGGACGTAAACCAGAGGAGGTGATGTGTCTGAGTGTGAGTAGAGTTTCCATTCCAGGAGTTTGGGAGCAATTGAACACTTTTGCAGATGATCGTTCATGTTCACTGCACACGAGAGACCTAGTATGTTCTGGGCCCATTTTGAACATCCGGATAGTAATTGTTTCCCAGCCTTCGTTGAGACAAGGCACATACAGCGCCCCTCCACAATGATAGTCAGCCATGGCTAAGATGTGTTCAGTGCCTTCGTATGAATTCCATATTCATTGCAGAAGCATACTCTCAGACTGAAAATTGTTCAAGAAGTTGCCCAAACACAGATTCTAGCCCCTCCCATCGCCATCTCAGTACCCAGACCTCAACCCCATTGAAAACCTGTCTGGTGAGATGGAGCTTCATGGCCTGCTTACAACAATACCACAATAAAACCTGTCTTTTTTTCTTTTAATGAAGACTTAGGCCTTCGATGCTACTGTATTTTAAAAGTATTGTTTTAGGCAGTACTTAATGGCAAAGTTTTGAGAACCACTGCCATAAAAACAACTTGAGGTGGACTCCCACTTATTTCCCTGATTTAACACACACTACTAAATCTACGTTTCATTTCAGTTCGTGGCTCAAATTTGACATGGAACAGCCTTAGTGTATATGAACTTTGTAGCACCCGTGACTTTTTTAATGTTTTACCTCGGTGGGAATATGGTAGAATGAACTAAGGTGAATCTGTACCAGAGTTAAGTTCACTTCGCCCCATTGTGTAATTATGAATACACGCTCACACAGTGAGAGCTTGAATGTCATTGAGGCTATTTTTAATTGCTGCCCGACTTGACCTAAACAGTAAAAGGTTAAGGCAGCAACGTGCATTTTTTTTCCTTCCGATGTAGTTCAGGTGTACTACCCATAGGAGACAAATACTGGTGATGTCAGTGGCTGGGGGGCAGCCCTGCGGCCCAAATTTCCAGCCAGCCTCAGCAATTAACGAGGTGTTTCAAGGCTCCCTAATTGGCCGCTTAATTGACCGTTTAGAGGTAGCACGCTGGCCGCGTGCCACCCCATCATCATCATCCCCCAATTTGGGGGTCCATCCATCCGTCACCCAGCAGCCTCCCTCCTCTATCTGTATCTGCCTCCCTCTCTATCTCCGTGTTTTATGTCTGCGTCACAACAAGTCGCTCGGAGAGAGACAGAGAGCGAGGGAGGAGGATGAAGATGGCGTCTCTGGCGGCTTGATATACGCTGGCGGTCGCTCAGAATAAAACGGCAAAGGCAGTTCGGTAGCGTTGAGGTAAAAGGAAAAAAAAAACCTAAACAAAACCAAAAACGAGAAGAGCAAGAAAGCACGGCGGCGTAGGACGCGTGCTGGCTTCTTACTCGCTCTTCCTCCTCTTCCTCCTGACTGACACTTGCACGCATGCACAGGCAGCCAGCGGTGAAGAAGAAGGTGATGATGATGATGATGATGAGGATGATGCACTCGCAGCCTGGCCGCGAATCGGCGTGACCCCGACGGGAAGGAAGGAAGGACGGCAGGAAATCGGACGGAAGGAGTTGGACTTTACAGAAGGTAGGCAAGTTTTGCTGCTGGTCAAAGTGAATCAACCGGCCGCAGCAGTCGTCATGCGGTGCTTTGATTGCGTCTCGCTCCCTTGCTTGCTTGTGTGCTCATCGTGTCTTGTTGTTCACGTCACCCCCCCTCAACCACCAAAAAAAAAAAAGGCGAAGGGAGAAAGGAGGCGTTTAACCCCACTGACGACGTAACCAGCCAGGAGAAAGGAAAGCAGAAGGGGGGGGGGGAGTAAACACCTCGTCTTCCTTTTCCTCTTCCTCGTCTTCCTCCCGGCCATATCCTCTCGTCATCCAAGTGTTGAGCGCATAAATCCCATTTTCCGTTCGCACATTTCTCCGTGTGTGCGCGCGTGTGTGTGTGTGTGTGTGTGTGTGTGTGTGTGTGTGTGTGCGTGCGTGTGTGTCGGTGGACTAAGGATGGGGAGAGTGAGCGAGGGGGACGATGTGCTGGCCAGATGGAGCGACGGGCTCCTCTACCTGGGCAACGTCAAGCGGGTAAGTGCTTTTTTTTTTTTTTTTTTTTTTTTTGGCACTTGAAGGCTGCAGCTTGGTGTCAATCACTGTCCTCGCTCCCTCCCTCCCTCCCTCCCTCCCCCAACCGACCGACCTCAGGTAGACGGCGTCAAGCAATGCTGCCTGGTCAGATTTGAAGACAACTCCGAGTTCTGGGTCCTCAGAAAAGACATCCACTCGTGTAAGGAAAACTCTTTTCAGTCTCAGCTCTCCGTTGCTTAAAGGGGAAATCGAGTCCAAAATTTCATGTGCAAGAATATGTTCTGTGTGCCTCCACAAGTGGAAAGCCCTTCTGGTGTAGGAATGGAGCGGATGAATCCATCCATCCATTTTGTATTGCACCTGTCAGCTGAAGTTGACGTCAACGTGCCCTCGGGCTCGCATTGTGAACATCACATGACCTAAGAGGTGAACGGTGACATTGGTAATTCGAGCCCAAGGGCATGCAGATGTCAATTTCAGTCGACAGCGGAGCGCACTGTACATAATGGCAAAATTGCAGCGCACGCCCTGAGCTGGATGAAAACAGAGGGATTCATCTGCTTCTTTCTTATTACACCAACGCAATATTCATCAGAATATCGTCTTTAAACTAGAAGGGGCACAGAAAACATTCTTGCAAAGAAAATGTTGGCCCCTCTAAAACCAATTCAGATCCATTTAAGCATACATTCACACTACACTAAAAGAGCCAATTTGGATTGTTTTGTTCAATCCGATCTTTTGATGAAGTTGTTCACGTCACAAAACCAAAATGCGACTTGAAATCTGAACAGAGCGCATCAGTGAAGTGACACGCAATGTGCAGAAAAGACGGAACGTCACGTGGCGCAGTGTCTACGGAAGGAACTCTGGCCCCTCGCTCGTATCGGTCCCGTCCTGACGCGCAATAATTTTGCCATTTCCTGAACTGAAGGAATTTCACATCATCTTCTTTTGGCAATTGAGTGTTTTTTGCTCCTTCGTGTGCCACCTCACTTTAGTCCATCAGTTGTGACTTTTGATGGCACATAGGTTGCATGAAAGCATCTAGGCTGCAGTCGCATTGGATAAATATCCCGTTTATATGCACATAGGTCGGATTTGAGAAAAAAAAAAAAAGTGATTTGTCCTGCTCACATTGACCGACAAAAATGAGTAAACTAAATAAATAAATAAATAAATCGGAATTGACCTGCATTTATGAACGCAGCAGCCTTTGTTATCACATATTGTTAAGAAGCTCACAATTCCATTTGATTTCAGTTCTTATACTGTGCAATCACGTGGAATGTCACTTTACATTTTGGAGAACTAAAACATCCAAAAACATAACTTATTCCTGCATAAGGAATACAAAAGTAAAAAAAACACTCACACACGCATACCTCGGGACAATTTAGAGTGTTCCATTAACCTGCCACGCATGTTTTTGGAATGTGGGAGGAAACCGAAGTACCCGGAGAAAACCCACACAGGCATGGGGAGAGCATGCACACACCACACAGGAAGGCCAGAGCCGGAATCGAACGCAGCACCTCTGCACTGTGAGGCCGACGTGCTAACCAGTCGCCTACCATGCTGCCTGTCAAATATCTTGATAAGAAATTTGCTGTTGATTAATTGTTGCCCCTCGTATTTTATCCCCCCCACTATGTTTCTTCTTCTTGTCTAGTTGCAGCCGGCGTGGAAGAAGTTTGCTGTATCTGCGAGGCCCCGCCTCTTAAAGAGCCCCTCGTAAATTGTCTGAAATGCCGCCACGGTAAGGAGGAGCACCTCATCACACACTTCCTCCCGCACCGACCTTGAAGAGCTGACGCGGAAAGGAAAATAAACAAGGTGCTGTCATAAATGATCTATGTGCAACCCCCCACAACTCCGCTACAGCAACCCCGCCATTGTGACTGGAAGGGAAGCCAATGACATATTTAGGGGGAAAAAACATTAGCTGTGAAAGATACGAGGTGGCGAGCCAGAATCTTGATTGACGCGTGATTGATGGTGGCGCTTTGCCCAATACCCATCATGCATCGCCCGACTGCTTTCAAGAAAAATGGTTGCGTTCCGAAGCATAGACATTCGATACAAGAACAGGAATGGATGTGCATGTCGTCGCCATATTGAATGTGGCAAAGTCGAGCCAGGGGTGAAGATGGAAATAATACAAATGGTAACAATACATACAGTAATTACGAACCAGTTAATTGGCATTTTATTCCTTTGTTGTAACCCTTCTTTATGCAGTAGAAAAGAGAATCTTTTTTGCAATGCAACCTAACTTTAGACAGCAAAATAAAACCCAAGACAAAGGCATACACAGACTGCACATTGAGATACACAGACACAAAAGAAAACATGAGAAAAACACCCAAAACGTAAGTGAACAACAATGCAATTCTAAATAAGTGTCGCTGTTTTGGAGCATTTGGATTGATATTTCAATTGTATTTTGAGATAGTTACAGACTGACTGCAAAAAACTTGCCATGAGGGAAGCTGATTTACCACATGGGTCGATTGGAATGTCAGCCGTTTTATTTATTTTATTTTTTTATGCCGTTTTATTTCCCCCCCCCCACAATCACCGCACACACTTTTTGTTCACCACTGAAACACGTCCTCGTTTTATAATGTGTCAAATTTGTCCAACTTCCAACCATTTTTCTCCCTCATCATCAACATGACAAGCTGAGCTCAGATCCAAAACGACGCAATGCCGCCATCTGGTGGTGTCTGTTCGTCATGGCAGTGATGTTAAAGCTTGCATTTCACAGACGAGCTGTTCGCAAAGGTTTTAATTGTAAATACAGAGATAATAAGTCTGCTTTAAAAGATTTTTTGCCGAGAGGCTGACATTTCTGAGGATTTGGACGGTTTAGAATTCAGCAATGCCTCTAAAGCGATGAGCAAAAGAGTTGGGGATGAATGTGATAATCGTTTAGCTGTCGACGAATCAATGAATTGTTGCGCCTCTACTCATACGTGTGTTACTGGAGCACAACAAGCAGATGTAAAAAGGTAACTAGGAATAGGACACTGAGCATCAGAATTCAAAGGCAGGAAAGAAGCTGAGATTTTGCCATCTGACAAACAAGGCAACTGTCAGCGAGTGTGCGCGCAGGAATGAGCTGATAAATAGACCTGCTGCTCCCAGGACACAAATAGTCTCGTAAAGGGATGCGGCATGGCGCGGCGCTAAACCCGCAAACCAGCCGCTGTGCCATTATTGCCGCTCAGACAAAACGCCAATGAAAGGCCTCCCGCCTCAGGTTACCACGCCGAGTGCCACACGCCCAGCATCGAGCCCGAAGCCGACAGCGAATCCTGGATATGTCGCCAGTGCGTCTTTGCCGTCGCAACCAAGGTCGGAACGCTCATCTCACACTTGGCTACACCTGCACAAAGCCCGTCGCATACTATGGAAGAACAAAACAAAACAAGCTCACGCTTGAGGATTTCCCACACTGTGTTTACTGCATTTGTTGCCTTATTTTTCTCCATGACAGGGACAAAATATTAGAAACAGCTCTTATGATAAATGGCAGCTATTTATCACCATCAGCACAATAAAAAAAACACTGTTATTATTACGACAGTCGTCCCTCACTGTTTCATGGTTCACTACTCTTTGCGCACATTTTTTTTGACTGTACAGTACACTGGGAATACAAGTAAAAATTGGTTAAAAAAAAAACACCCAAGTAAAGTACAGATACGGGAAAATTCACACCTGCCCACTAAAGCCCCGTTGTCAAATTCCTCCCCTCACCCCAGAGAGGCGGTGCCATCAAACGAGGCCGCTTTGCCCGCCTGATGCACTTCATGAAACTGCGGCTGCCCTATCAGCTGACCTCGCTGGACTGGGACCCGCAGCATCTGTCCAATCAGCAGCAGTGTTACTGCTACTGCGCCGGACCTGGAGAGTGAGCGAGACCAAAGGCTTCGAACATGCGCAAAAGTCTCATGGACGACGTAACTAACCGAATGGTTGTTTTTTGTTTTTTTGCTGGTGCGTAGGTGGAACCTGAAGATGCTTCAGTGTGCCAGCTGTGGCCAGTGGTTCCACGAGGCCTGCACTCAGTGTCTCACCAAGCCTCTCCTCTACGGGGACAGGCAAGTGAGGTGGAATTGGGGCCTTCCTTCCGCCTGTCCTGTCGATCGCGACCTTGGACGCGATAGTAGGCTAGCAACAGAGCTAACAATACCCCGAAATGATTGAATAAACAACTCACACTTGACACATCCAAACTACGGCGGAAGCGACGACGGCTACACGAATCATGCTAGCCTTTCCCCCTTGTTTTCTCAACGGGCTCTGCTTCAATGACCACTCGGCCCCCTTTCACGTTCAGAGAACAGAAAGAGCGACGAGGATGAAGGCTTTTGCGTGCAGGCAGGTTGCATCGTTGGCGCCTCATAAAACGTATGCATGAAGTTGAGATTGTCATTAGCCAGCTGGGTTTAACACCCGCCTTGACATGCCGTTATTACCCGAGCTATCGGGGGAGTCGTGCTTGTCGTCGCCTTTTGATTGACAGTCAGAGAAAAGGCGAGAGAAGGCAAGCTGGCGTTTAGCGGTGACAACTGCCAGGCAGGTGATGGAAGAAGACGGAAGCCTGAGTTCTCATGCGGAATAGTAAACATGTTCATGTATGTGATGCGTGTTTCATTTGCAACCGCCCCACCCCCCGCAACATGACCTTCAGCTGATAGAAGGATTGATGCAACACAATGTTGTTGCCATGTCAACCGAGATCCAGGGTCAGCCGCTAGATAGTTGAAATAGAAGAAAACCAGCAGCGACTGGAGAGAGGTGATGGTGTTCATCTGCAGTGAGAGTGGCCACGCGTAGGTTGAACAGCCATTCCATGACCGTGCCATACAGCGCTTCATTGTGCAAAGATGCGCATTGGAGTAGTTTCAGAGGAATGGAAAATGTCACGTCGAAAAAGGTAGCGCAAAATCAAAGTCGAGATTGGATTGACATGACCGTTTACCAATTTTCCTTATCGGGCAAATTTGTTTTTGTTTGTGGAGCGTGTCAATTGGGACATTTCCCTTTTTGTAATTTTTGTCCTTGTTGTAAAGCAGAATTGAGTGTTGTCTTTGCATTTGTTTCAGGTTTTATCAGTTCCAGTGCTCAGTGTGTAATAAAGGACCAGAAACCGTCAAAAGACTTCCCATGACTTGGTGATGGTGGAACATTTGATGACTTGACAGTCTGGCCAACCTTGCAGTATACGAAGCAGCTCATCTCCTTTCTTTATTTGTATTGCAGGGTGGACTTGGCCCACTTGGTGCTCTACCACCTGTCCCTGTGCTGCAAGAGGAAGTACTTTGATTTCGACCATGAAATCTTGTCCTTCACCAACGAGAACTGGGACTCGTTGCTCCTGGGCGCGGTACTGTGAATCCTCCACTTAAAAGCACCATGATGAAATTGTGCGAAATGCTGCAGGCACTTTTTTTTTTTTTTTTTTTGCAATGGACATTTGAAGTCCATTAACTGTCATTAAAATCAAATTCAAAGCATTTAGAAAAGTGCCAAATTGACATCAGCTTAAACAGACAAAAAAAGAGCCATTTCTTCATTTAGTTTGGGAGGAATCAATAAAACAAAATGACCGCCGTTTTCTACCTTTTTACCACTACAGTGAATCGCCCGTTTACGTATGTCCCAACGTACGTGACCATCCCAGAAACTAATCAGCGTGATTCGTTTTGATTGGGACCTGAAAACATATTATGTATGTATTATGTACACACAGACAGACAAACAGAATCTTTTCAAAAGGTACTTTTTTATTTTGGTTTTAAATGTCTTAAGTTTTTTGTTATCAAATGCTTTCACATTTTATACTTTTAATTTTGTGAAGCACATTGAGTTACCTTGTGTATGAAATGTGCGATATAAATAAAGCGGCCTCTCCTTGCCTATAAACAAAGGAATGTAGTGAAGAGTGGCCAACCCCCCCCCCCCCCAAAAAAAAAAAACAGGACCATAGCTAATCGGGACCTTAAACCCAAAAGCACATAACCAACCATAATCCGAAAACCGAAATCATACCTAGCTGGGACCTTCAAACCAAAGGACGTATCTATTCGCGCCTTCAAAGCAAAGTACAAACCCAACTGACCCGAAAACCAAGGAACATACACATTGTCACTTCCCTTTGACATTAACTATAAACCTGACCCACAAAACAAAAGACTGTTACCAAAATGCTCAACCAAACCCTGTCATTCATTACTAATATACAGGTATTTGAAATGCCATAAACAGGCGAACCGATGCACATGAATGTTACAAACAAAGCAGACAACAATCACAGACATTTTCTCTCGGCAAAGTGGGGGCAGGTTCTTTGCCTCTTCTCTTCACTCCTAATTATGCTGCATGTCACCCAGAAAAGCTCAGTACTGCCGGGCATGTTGTGGCACAAGGCGGTACTACACTGAAGAGACCAAATTGGGACTTCCATGTAGTGCTTGGGGAATCGCGACAATAACTATTTACAACTTGGAAAGAGTTTAAAACACGTTTTTCCAAGCATTTACTGAAAAAATTTTTTTCTTTTGCCTGCATTAAGGGTTTGATTCTTGTTTGCACAGCTCTCAGACACGCCGAGGCAAGAGCGATGTCACAACCTCCTCAACGCACTCAACTCCCAAAAGGACCGGTGAGATGTCAACAAATGAAACTCTGAAATCATTGGATTATCATTTGAGAATAAATCGATTATTGGGGCTGCAACGAAGAATGATTTGGGTAATCAATTGTTTGATTCGCACAATGGAATCAAGACAGCTATGACACATTTGTCATCTTCCACACCCAAATTGTATATTTTCATCCAGTCAACGAGTTCCAAAGCACTGAATTTGCCCGCGATCTTTATCCCCCCAAATTTCTTGCGCTATAATGACAAATGCCATCGCAACCTGTTTCTCTCTGCAGCTACAAATACATTTCATGCGCCAAAAGAGGAGCAGGCTCACAATGGCAAACTAACATGCGTTTTTTTTTTTTTGGTGGTTTTTTTTTTTTTTTTTTTTTTTTTTTTTTAACAGTTTTTTTTTT